AAAATAACAAAGATAAAACTAAATTCTAAAATGTCAATTATTAGTAAATATAAAAAAATAATTTTATAATTAAAGTTTTTTATGTGTATCTTAACCTTTTTTTATTTATATAGAATCTATTTCATCAATGAACCCAGTTAACAGTGCTTCAACTATTTCTATGTTAAATTCATCAGGAAGTACCTTGTTCTCTGATAATGAATCAGCTTGTTTTGGTAATAGCTTAGGTGGTGGTTCATGTGGTTTCAATCCATGTTTTAATCCATGCAGCAGTGGAAACAGTAACATTATAAATATCGATATTGATATTGGTGGTCGTAGAAGATGCTGTTAAATTTTTTTAAATAAAATTATTAATCATTAATATTAATTTAATGAATTATATCTATTAAAACTATTATCAAATTATTTACATTATTATTTTAATTCTTTATATTATAAAAATAAACTTTTATAATTTTAAAAATAATTTTGCAATATTAAAGAATAAATAATCTATATTGATTTATTGTATTATGATTTATATAGTTTTTTTTTTACTTGAACTGACATATTACTAATGAATTTAACATTGAAATAGTTCAAGTAACAATACCTGTATTAAATGTTAAACTTTTTAAAATTGTTCCATTTTATTCCTCATTCTTCCAAACTCTATAATTAATCTTTACCCAACTAATTTTACCTGTTATTCTTCAACTAATTAAATTTAATAATGATAAAATTTTGATTTGGTTTTGATTTTTATTATTTTTAATTAAAAATTTTTTATTGGAAAAACTGGATAATTATGTATGTTTTTCTAAAATGAGGAGCTATTTTTAATTTAATATTTTAAAATATATGGTTATTTAAATGAATTAGACGATTAATTTTTAAAAAAAAAAAAAATAAAAAAAAAAAATTTTAAAAAATTAAATTTTTAATTTTTATTTTATTTATATATTTTATTTATCCTTTTATTTTTATCAGCTTATTTATATATATATATATTTTTACATCTTATCAAATACATATTTACATATTATCAATATCCATATATTTTCAACTTTATATATTTTTACAACTTATAAATATCAATTCTTTTATTTTTTTATAATTATATTCAAAATGAAATACGATAAGCAGCATTTAATAGATTTAACAAAAGATTTATCAATAAAATTATATTACGCAAGAGGCTTAAATATTGCCTTCTTTAATGAAGGAATAAAAACAGCCAGAAAAGTTATCAAAGAAATAACAAATTTAGAAATTTTAGCAGGAATAGAAGATTCCACCATAGAACCAACTACTTTGGTTTTAAATTATTTATTAGTCAACAATAATATAGTCAACGAAGAACAACAAGAATATCAAGAACAACAAGAAAATCAAGAACAAGAAGAAGAAGATCAAGAACAACAAGAAGAAGATCAAGAACAACAAGAAGAAGATCAAGAACAACCAGAAGATCAAGAACAACCAGAAGATCAAGAACAAGAAGAAGATCAAGAACAAGAAGAAGGTCAAGAACAAGAAGATGATCAAGAACAAGAAGATGATCAAGAACAAGAAGATCAAGAACAAGAAGAAGATCAAGAACAAGAAGAAGATCAAGAAGAAGATGAACCAATTTACGCTACCCCATCTCCACAACAAGAACAAAACCAAGTTCAAGAAGATGAATCATCAGATGGTGATAATGATGACAATGATTATAATTGGAGATGCTACCAAACTCCAATTATCCCATCTCCATCACCAACACCAATTCCAACACCATTTGAAAATACCCCACCTCAAGAAAATAATCAACAAGAGGTCATTAACTCACCATCACAACAAGAATCAAGCCAAGATAGTGATCTTGAAATCTATGCTAATTGGAAATCATTCCAAACCCCAAATTCACCTCCAAGATCAGATCAAAGCGAACAAGATCAAAATGAGGTCCAAGAGCAAGAATTAGTCCATAATAATCAAGAACAAAATCAAGAACAAGTTAATCAAGAACAAGTTAATCAAGAACAAGTTAATCAAGAACAAGAACAAATCCAAATTAATCAAGAACAATCCAATCACCATGAGGAAGAACAAAATGGACAATTCAATAATGAAAATCAAGAAACCGAAGAAAATCAACAATTATCTCATCATAATGAAAATGAAGAACAAGATGCAGAAAGATCCAACCAATCAATGGATGAAGAAGAAAATGAAATCATTTTTGGATATACTTGGAGAACATTATTCCAAGATAATTTTCAAGAAGAGGAAAATAATTCAGCCAATGAAAATAACCAAAATGATGAAAATGATGAAGATGATCAAGTAGTTCCAGAAATTAATGAAGATTTATATAATATTGAAGTAGAGGATGAAGAATTAAGTCAAGAAAGTCAAGAACCAATACAAGTTCCTTTACCACAATATAATGAGAATGAAGAAGAAGAACCAATCCATGTTTCTCCCCCATACTTTTATGAAGAAGAAGAACCAATTTATTCCACTCCTCCACAAGAAACAAATCAACAACAACATCAAAATGCTAATGAAGTACAAGAAGAACAGTTTCAACAATTTTTCCAACAAGTAGAACAGCAACCATTAGAACAACAACCATTAGAACACCAGCCATTAGAACACCAGCCATTAGAACACCAGCCATTAGAAGAACAACCATTAGAACAACCATTAGAACAACAACCATTAGAAGAACAACAACCATTAGAAGAACAACAATTAGAACAAAATATATTAGAATTTCACCAAGAGGGTCAGAACCAAAACCAAAATGATCAAGCAGAACAATTCCCTCCAACTCAATCACCACCACACCAAGATGAAGAATTCACTCCAACACCAGTTTTAGAACAACCACAAGCTCCACAAAGAAATGTTCATTTCAATCTTGATTTGAATATCTATTATGAACCTATTCCAACACCACCACTTACCCCAACACCACCACTTACCCCAACCCAAGAAGAATAATATAATAAAGAATTACCATCAGTCAATAAACAATAATCAATAATTAATAATCAATAAACAATAATCAATAATTAATAATCAATAATCAATAATAATAATAATAATAATAATAATAATAATAATAATAATAATAATAATCAATAATCAATAATAATCAATAATAATAATAATAATAATAAATAATCAATAATAATCGACAATAATCAATAATAATAATAATCAATAATAATAATAATAATAATAATAATAATAATAATAAAAAAAAAAAAAAAAAAAAATTTAATGTAACGCCGTCCAATGTACCACAATTCGAGTCCAGAAGAGTAGTAGCCGCTAAAAAACTGGATAATGTCAGGTATTTCCTTAATTGGGGGTATCTGGCGTTATCTAAGTTTCCTCATCCAGGGAGGGTGAGGTTTTGCCATTTTTTTTTTAAAAAACGATAGAGGGAACAATTATCTATCTGCTGATACCTTTGTTAGACCGTATAACTCAAATCATCAAAAGCTGGATTGATTTAAAGTTTTTTTTTTCTATGGAGCCTCATATAAAATTTTTTTTTAAAACCAAAAAATTAATGTGATGATTTTAAAAAAAAATTTGGGTTTTTTTTTTTTTTTAAAGTATTTAAATTAATTTTTTTTTTTTTTTTTTTTTTTTTTTTTTTTTTTTTTTAAAAAAATTTTTTTTAAATTTTTAAAAAAAACCTCTTTTTTTAAACTTTTAATATCCAACCTTTTTAAGTTAAATCCAACCCCCTGGTATAAATATATAAATAAAAAGTCAAATTATAGGTAAGTTTTAATTTATTTATTTTGTATCTTATTTAAAATTAAAGTTATTTTCTTTATTACGGAAAACAATATCAAAAAACCACTTAATAAGGAATTTCATCATAATGGAAGCTTATCGATTACCCCCCCCAATGTTTAGGGATAAATAACAATTTGAAAAGCAGAAATGGTTGAATGATTTAATTGTATAAGAAAATTATAGTATATTTTGGATGTCCTATTTCATATGTGTAACTAATAGATGATTCTAAAAAAGAATATGTAAAAGACAACTTATAGTGGTATACAATTGGTTTTCATATACCACATCAAAACAAGTACAAAAAATCAATAACAACTCGAGTCGAATACAAATCGGGTAAAAAAAAAAAGAAAACCGCAAATAGATATAAATATATAAAATTTAAATAAATAAATAAAAAATACATAAAAAAATAAATAAAAAATAAAAAATATAAAATAATTAAATTAATAAATAAATTAACTATTTGAATTAAAAAAAAAATATATAATATTTAAATTTTTATTTCTATTTAGTTGTTGATGCTGATGCTGATGCTAATCCAAATGTTAATCCTAATGCTAAAGCTGATACTAATTAAATTCTAATGCTGATGCTGATGTTAAATTACTTCTACACCTTTTATGTAAATTTTGAATTTAAGAAAGTATCCCAAACCAATCAAGATAAATCTGATGATTCTGTTAATAGATCATCCATTATGTGTATTATTGATGTCGGTTGTGAAAAAAAAAATCCAAAAAAAAGACGTTTTTATTTTTTTATTTTTTTTTTTTATTTTATTTGAATTTTTTATTTTTTATTTTTTTTTTATTTTATTTATTTGTTTTTTTTTTTTATTTATCCTTAATTTTTTGACTCACTCGAAAATCGAATATTAAAATTTTTTATTCAACTGCAGCAGGTCGGAGCTTCATCAACAGCAAAACAACAATAATGTTAAATTAAAAAATAATAAAACTTTTATTTTCTTAATAAATTAAAACTTTTTAACAATTTAAATCTAAATTTAAAAATTTTTTTATTTTACCAATTTTAACTTATTTATAAATTTCTAATACCACATACATATCTAATGAAATAATAATAAAAATTATAAATTGTAGTATATTTATAAAATAATTAGGAAATTTGTTTGACGAAATATGCCACATGAAATTAATAACACGAAAAATGATATCAGTATGGATCAAGAGCTCAAAGTCATTCAATCCCTCAGAACAACTTTGTAAACCAGTGACCAATGTAAATACATCGTCACAATCAGTCAAAGAAGATACAACCAACAGTGAAGCTCAAACATACACAGATCAACCTACCAAAGCACCTCCAATCATACCTCTTATCTTCAAAAAATAATAATAAAATTAATAAAACTATAAAAATATTAAAATTAAACCTTTAAAATTAAATAAATAAATGATTTAATAACATCGTTTGACCATAATCAGAATATTCAAATTGAATCATAATGATAATGGATTCTTTTAAAACAAAAAAACATACACATACAAAAACATATGACCATATTCATGTACATACACATACACATATACATACACATATACATACACATGAACATATACATTTGCACATACACATACACAAATATACACACGCACATGCACATAGATGAATATACACACGCACATGCACATGAACATATACACATACACATACATATGTACATGAACTTGAGCATGAGCAGCACATGCACATGAACATATACACATACACATACACATACACATGCACATGAACTTGAGCATGAGCAGCACATGCATGAATATATACATGCACATGCACTTGCACATGCACATGCACATGAACATATACACATGCACATGAGCAAAATATATGCACATGCACACGCACATGAACATATAAATATGCACATGTACATGAAAATGAGCATGAACAGCACATGCACATGAACATATACACATGCACATGAACAAACATATACACATGCACATGAACAAACATATGCACATGCACATGTACATTGGTATGAGCAGCACATACACATACATGAATATACACACGCACATGCTCATGATAAATGAGCATGGGCAGCACATACACACACTTGCACATGAACTTGAGCAGCTCATGCACATGAGCATATACATACATTTGCACATAAACATACATGAATATACACATGCACATGAACATATACATACATTCAATGCACATGAACATGCACATGAACAAACATATGCACATGCACATGAACATTGGTATGAGCAGCACATACACATACATGAATTTACACACGCACATGCACATTCACATGAACATATAAATATGCACATGAGCAACACATACATGAATATACACACATGCACTTTCACACGCACACGCACATGAACATATACACATACACATGCATATGTACATGAACATGAGCAGCACATGAACATACACGAACATGAACATGAACATGAGCAGCACATACATATACATATACACATACTCATTCACATTCACATTTACATTCACATGCACATGCATATATACACATATAAATACATACTCATTTAGGTATGTACATGCCCATACTCATACAGCACATACATGCAAATTAACATGAACATGCACATATACATAAACATATTCATATACATGCACATGCTTACATATATACACATACACATATACTAAACATATACATGCACATGCTCATATACATAAACATATTCATATAAATACATTTACTTATTCATGTGCTCATTCTCATACTCATCCACATACATAAACATATGAGCATATTCATGTACATGCATACACATTCACATACAAATGCAACACATACATGGGGATGGTAATACTGATACCTACCATTACACATCCCAATTCACATACACTTACATATACACATTTATATTCACATCTACATACACATTTATATCCACATAAACATACTCATGAATAAGCATTTTATTATATACACATTAACAAATGCATTATAATAGTGCCATAAATATACTCATGTACACACATAGAATAGATATTATTTTTTTTGGTTTAGATAATGTTGGAAAATAATAAAAGTATTAAATTAGTGTTCTTAATGCACTCGATAAAATACAATCCTAATAACAAATTAATGCTTTACCATTCTAAAGCCTTTCATTCAAATTAAAAATGTTGTCCCCTCTTAACAACAACTATAAATAAATATTATTTGGAAATATGGTTGACGAAATAAAAAAAAATAAAAAACAAATTTAATATAAAAACTATAAAGAAAAGAGATTATAAAAAAAAAAGGGTTTAATTTTATTATTACTTTTTTAATGATTATGGCCATGACCATGATGATTATGGAATTGAGGTTCGTATGGTCATTATTATTATAATTCTATTCATTATTATTATTATTGTTATTACTATTATTTAAAAGATTTACAAATTCAATCAAAGTTTTGTGAACTGAGTAATCATGTTTTAAGAATTTTGAAATTGATTTTTTAATCTTCTCGTTGTCAGCGTTTGAATCGACTTGAATTTTAAGAGTTGCTATATTCATTTCATAATAATGACCCCAAAAATGATAATTTAATAAACCTGGAGTACCTAAAATCTTTTGAGTAATTGAATCTGGTACATTGTAAAGAGTTTTAGCGGTTCCATTGATTAATGGTAATACAGATAGGAAAATTAAGATACTAATATATAATAAGCAAATGGGATCTGCTAAGGTGTAACCCCAAATTTGAATAGTTAAAGATAATACAATAATACCGACACCTCCTAGTGTATCAGCCAACTTGGCTGAGATGCAAAAATACACATCTTCGGTAAGTTGGTTGAATGAAAATAATATAAATGAAGTTGTAAGAGTTGATAATAGGAAACTTGATTATAATCAATATAAACTGGATGGTTTGATGGTGACCATGATTCAACGTTTTTAATACAAAGAGTACAATAGTTGCAACTAATGATCCTAAACTTGATAATTTATTTCTATGTGAATTACTCCATCCTTTAACTGCTGTCTTCTTTACCATAACTAAAATATTGTGAATTAATAAACTAAAAACTCCAATCATAAAAACCTGTGATGCGCTATGTCCATGAATTTAGATCCAAAAAATGGAATTAATAAATATCCGAAAATTAACATAATTGATGCTCTAGACCAAATTAATAGATAATGTATTAATAAAAATATAAAATTCCCTAATATTAAAATAGAACTATGATTTATTACCATATCAGTTGAAAGGAAGTACATATAATTGGATAAGTTGAGTATGAATAATCTGATGCTAAAATAGTGCTGTTTTGTATTATAAAAAAAAAATTAATATATTTATACCTTTAATAATTATGATAGAAGTTGAAATATTTTGTTTACCCTAATGGACCAATATATTTTACTGAACAATTCCATGTTAATACAATAAAAAGATTAAATAATGAATAATAAATAATCTTTTTAATTTGGGATGGTCTTAATTGTGATAATAAATTCCAAGGCTTTTCGGTAATTAAAGATTGAACAGTCGAGAATAGTAATATATAGAATGACACATTGATTACTGATAATGACTGTAATAAATAAAACAACATTATATAAAAAATAAAATTTTTTAATTATATCATAATTCTGGTGTTCCTCTTTGAAAATTCAATTTCACTGCGTAGTCACTTATTTGTATGGCCCATTGATATCTTTACCTCTTTGTTTTTTTTGTGAGATATTGCTTATATTTCAAACCTTCAAATGTAATAACTTTGCAATGGAGTGAACTTCTTATTGTGTTAATTAAAACTTGTGTATTATAATTCTTCCAAAGATATCTTAGTCTTTTAAAAATGGTTAAAATAAAAGTTAATTTTGATGTTATCAATTAATATGGAGTAAAGTAAAAGAGCTATTATTTTTATTGTTTTTATTGTTTTAATTATTACTTTTTAAATGTTTTTTAAACTTATAAAGTTTGATTTTTAAATTTGTACTCTTTTTATAAACAAAGTATAGTGCTGTAAGTAAAGCTGCAAACCCAACAACACCTACTGAAACGGCAACGCCAATTACCCACTTTCTTGAATCTTTACATTCAAAATTATAATCTGGTGAAATTAATAATGAAAAATCTAAATTAAAGTTATTAAAAATTATGTTTTATTATATTTAAAATATATTTTTAAAAAAGATATACACACCTGGATCGATTAAACATTCATCGCAATGTGGTAAGTTTAATGCAATTTTAATTGATTTTTTATCATTTGAAATGACATTAGCTACAATTGTTGTTGGTCTATTGTCTGATAACATTTTATCTTGGAATCTTGCATAAAGTATTCTATTGTTTTTAATAACTTTTAAATAGTTTATATTATTCATTAAATAGTTATTATTTGATGATGATTCTATAGTTGCTTCATTATCATCTTTATTGCATTTATTGTTGCTGTTTGATGAGTCAATTTGTATATCTGATGTCATTTGTACTTGCAATGTATTGAGATTGCTTTTGAACAACCAGTTTGAAATTGATAATGATAATTTGAATCCTCCTTTTGTAACTGTGAATTGATTACCTGCAAATGTGAAGTCTTTATCTTTATTGTTTACTTCTTCTATTATTAATTTTATTATTGCATTGGAATTATCCTCATTAATTCTTATTTGATTGAAAGTAGTGACTGATTCTTGTTTGTTTGCTAATATCCAGTTGTTTGATAAATTGAATATTGTTATTTGTTGATTGTTAAGGTCTAATTCTGTAATTGAATCGATGAATATTGAATATCCTATTTCTTGATTTTTAATTGTAACTGTTCCATTGTTATTGATTTCTGTTTCTGTTTCTGCTTGGTTATTATTATTGTTAATAATTGGTGATGAACAATCGAAACCAGTGAATTCTGAATTACATTTGCATGTACCTGTTGTTTTATCACAAATTCCATGTTCGTGACATTTTGATGAACATTCTATATCTGTGATATAATATGGATATATGCTACCACTCCATGTGATTGTATTTTGTGTGAAATTGACTTTTATTGAACCAATATTACCTGTTCCGATTGTTGTTTTGATTGATTCTGATGATATGATAGAAAATGGTAATGGTTTATTATCGATAAAGAGTGTTGCGTTATTATTTAAAGTTCCAAACCATCCATTAAGTGTAATTTCTCCACCTGTTGTTGATGATACTTGTGTTGATGATGATATATAGTGATTTGGTATTGTACATTGGTTTTCTGTAATAATAGTTGTCCATTTATTATTACAAATACAGGTCGATATATTTTGAATACCATTGCCGTTACAATAAAAATATGAATCGTATATAACTGGTGTTATTTTTATAGTATTTGAAGTGGTTGTTCCTGTACTGACATATATTTGATATGGTTTGTTTGTTGGTTTGATTCCTGGTATTAAAATAGTTGTTGAGTATTTCGTGGATGGTTGTAATGATATAAAACTTGTTGAACCATCGTATTTGATATAGGCAGAGTCTGTATCACTGAGACTTTTACCGTATAGCCATAGATTACCACCTTTATCAGTTATTTCAATATTGCCAGTGAGTACTGGTTCGAATGAATTGAAAGTTGTTGTTGCATAATAATCAAAATTTGATGTGATTAAAAGTTTAGTTGAATAACCACTGAATAGTCCGTTATTATTAATGAAACCATATACTGAAAATATTATAATTCCTGGATATCCGAATGCAAGTGGTAAATCTACAGTGCATTTGTATGTTGTATCGAATTCAGTTGATGATTTAATTTCTGAATAACATTCGATCATTTGATTATTTGAATTTGAAATATAAACAATTGGGAATGTGTTATTTTTTAAACCACTTTCAGGATCTGATGCTTTAAAATCAAAAGTGATGGTTGATGATTTACTGACATCGATTTCTTTTGAATTTTGTGATGTTGATGGTTTGAATAATACAAGTGTTGGTGGGGTGATGTCTGAAGAGGATGGACTGATTTCGCATTCTAATTTAATTTTATTGATTGTTGAATCTTGGATATAATTTAAAAATGGATTGGACAAAGATATATAATAGGTTTCTTCAGTATAAATACTGAAATAAGAAATTCTACCAGCTCTATCGGTTAGCTTTACTTCATCGATAACATAGTTTTGAGTAATGCATGGGAATGAAATGTTTAATTTGATGTCATATACACCTAAGTATAAATTACCTGATTTAATATTCTTTTCTGGTGATAGTGATATGTTGTAATGTGATTGATCAATCTGACCTTTTATAACAATATAGCCATTTTTAAAACCATTAATTTGATCTTCGATTGTAATGGTCCATCCAAATATACCATGTTTGACATTTAATCCATCAGCTTTATCTGGTAAAATCTTTGATATTTCTTTAAATAATGGTCCTTGATTATCCAATTCTGTAAATTAATATATGTAAAATTAATATTTTCAATATTTATTTTTAATAAAATAAAAATAAAAATAAAAACAAAAACAATGCTTACTTGTTTTTTTAATTAACAATTGTGTACTAAGGGAAGAGCTATGTAAATTCTGACCATAAACTGAAAACAAGAAGAATTGATAAGATCCAGGAGGACTATTTGCTTCAATATAAAATATAATTTGAAACTTTTTAATACTTTCATTCCAACTTGAATAAAATATTGGGTTTTCATTTTTAAGATATAAAGAATAATAATCGAGCATAGCAAATGAAGTATCTCTTGGAACATTTTCGGAATAATTAAAATACATAACGTTATAATATCGGTGATTCGAAACATCGATATCATTATATAAAAATGATACATCTTTAATTTGAGGCATATCAACTATTATAAAAAATAAAAAGAAAAATATTAATAATTTACATTTTTTCTATTGTTATATATTCGCTATTACTTACGTTTTATTGGAGGTTGGTATAATCTGGCTACATTATTTATATCATCAATTTTTATTATTTGGGTGTTTAAATCGAGAACAAATGAAGCTTGATCACTTAAATAAATTGAATCGAATTTTATTGGAGCTATCAATTCATAGTATCCGATACCATATAAATCACCACTAACAAAAGTTTCTGCTCCATAAAATATTTCACCATTAAAACCATTTACTTTTAAATGTTTGAATCCATATTTAATATTGAGAGTTAATCTTAATAATGAATTACCATTTCCTAAATTAATAATTTCTGAATCTAATATAGAAGGTTTGAATTTGTAATCATAAACAAATAATGTATCTAAATAGTAAAAATTAAAAAATTAGTAAAATTACTTTTTTAAAAACCAAAATAAATATTACCAATTGGGGAATAAACTATTGAAATAGATGAATAATATGATCTTAAGGAAATTAATAAATCTGTTTCTATATTTGTAGGTTTTACTAACGATGTAACTTGGAAATCATACGATTGTGGATTTGAATATGATTTTATATAACCATATGGAAATCTGGCAACATATGAAAATTCTCCTATTCTTGATAAATAAAATGGCGTAAAATCAGTTATAGGTTTGATTTCTGAAAATCCAAAAGTGACAATAGGCAAACCATTTTCATAACCTCCTAATACAGTTGACCATGGTAAAACTGATGATGGATCTATAGAAAATAAATAATAAATTTATTTTAAAGTTAAAACTTCTAAAGTAATTAATATATTATAATAATTAATAATGATTATGCATACATTGAATAAAATTTAGTTTTAGAGTGTTTGGTGTTACTTTAGTATTTATTGATTGTGATCGGTAAAAAAGATCGTAACCAAATTTTCCTTGAGGTTTCTCTATTTGTGTGAGTATTGTAGTTGCACCTGTTTCATCTGAACTAACTGGAATATATAGAGCAGTCAGATTGGTTTTAGTTCCAATTTCAAAACTATATAATGAGTTGAGGAATAATTTATTTAATGGTTCTTTTACTTTTAATGAGAGTACTGCTCCATAATTATAACCCATTGCATCATAGTTTTCTAAACTTGGCTCGTTTGGATAAGATCTATCTATAGAAAGTGTATATTGTTCAGTTCCTATTTAAAAAAAATTTATAATTAATAAGTTGCTATATAATGAAAAATAATTTTAAATATTTAAAATTTTACCAAATGGTGATTTAAATGAAAATATTCTAGAATTTTGTGGTGTTGAAATGTTGACTAGAATTTGGGAAACTTGATCATCTGGTATTGAATTGAAATTTAATCTTAATGAGTTAAATGCAGTTGAATAAAAATATTGACCACTGTTATAAGAAAAATAGAAAAATGATGCATCCGGATCTAATCCGTTTATCCTATAAACGCCAGAGATTGAATTTCCTTCAGTGTAATAATCACCTATCAATTCAAATGATAGTTTATCTAAATCAACATCTGTTTTATAACAAATTTAATTTAATATAGTAAATTATAAAATTTTATTATTTAATTTAAATCATACATACTTAAACACTGAAACTCTATACTAAACTCTTTATATTTTAGATAATTTGTACCTATCTTATCATAATTAATAACATATCTTGTAACTTTTGCTGAACTGTTATCGAATATTTCTGATGTAGAACCTATAAAATATTCTGGACTGCTAAAATCTACATTGCAAGTATCTAATGCTTCCTGTGGTATACATAATATTTCAAATGCAAATTGGCAAGTGATAAATTGATAATTTGAATAAAACTTATAAAAAGTATTGGGAGGTGAAACATCTTTTAAAAAAACCTCACTGCAAACTAAATTATTAAAAGATATTAATTGTAATAATATTAGTAATATAAAACTTTTAAAAAATTGTTTATATTTTAACATGATTTGTTTTAAAAAAATAATTACCGTTAAATTTTTTATAGAAAATTTGGTTTTTTATAAATACAATAATAACACGCTTTTCTTGTGAAATTAAGTTTGAAAATTGAAAAAAAAATCAAAAAAAAAAAAAAAAAAAAAAATTTTAAGAAAAAAACACTTAATTTTAAAAAATTTATAAATAGATTTCGAAATACGAACATTTTTTAAAAAAAAAATAAATATCTTCATCTTGATATTTATAATTTTAAAAAATTTCAATCTTCAACATTTGATTTTGGAACCATTCCACAAAATCATTTCTCTTTTTCCAACTTAATAAAACGTGTTTATATCATTATAAATAAAATAACGAAATAAATAAAATTTGGTTTTTTTATAAATTGAAATATAATATTATAATTATTTTAAAATTTATTTTTTTTATTTTTTTTTTTTTTATTTATTTAGTATTTAAATTGATCAAGTATTTTTTTTTTTTTTTTTAAGATTGTAAAAGACATCTCATCAACTTGGGGATACTTTTCGTTTTCTCTTCTCTAAGTTCTTGAATAGTATTGTATTTAAATTTTTATTATAGACCCAGCCAGGTAACCGAATGTCAATATAGAGATGCTACAAGTATAAAATAAATATTTTTTTATATTTAATATTATAATTTTTGTAATTATTGTAATTGTTATTTTAAATTTTATTACTATTAATTTATATATAACATAATAGAAATGGTGTATGAATTTACAATTGTCTCAAAATATTGTTATTTTTACTTTTTTGTATTTTGTGTTTTTTTTTTTTTTATTTTATTTTTTCATTCCCACACAACCAAATTTTTAATAAATTATTTTAAATAAAAATAATAAAACAAAAATAATAATTGTAATAATAATAATTGTTATTAAAAAACAAAATTAAAAAAATCAAAGCTTTTTTTAAATTATAAAAAGAATGAAGAAACAATTAAAATTATTTTTTACAATAGTTTTTATTCTTTTTTTAGGTGTAGTCCATGCTAATGTAGATGCTGAACCAAGAAGAGAACATGAAAACAATATAGAACTAAAAAAAGATCAACCAAAAGCTTTAGAACAATCAAAAAATAATAACCAAAAAAGAGAAGAAGTAAAAAATACAAGTTCTCCATCAGAATATGCAGATTGTAAAATCAAATGTGGTAAAATTAAAGAATATCAATTAAAAAATGATTGTAGAATAGATTGTATCGGAAGATTCGGTTAACAAGATAATCAAAAAACAAAATAAAAATAATACTAAAATAAATAAAAAAATATTATAAAATATAAATATAAAAATTATTAAAAAAACCATTTTATTTTTATTGTATTTTTAAAACCAGTTTAAATATTTAAAATCGTTATGATTTAATACTTGTGCTTTTAGATATGACAGTAATTTATTGTTTCCATCATTGTCGTTTATATATTTATTGTCGAATAGTTGCTTTAGAGTGTAAATAGAGTTTGAGTATAATAGATTCTTGAGAGTAACTTTAGATAATTGCAGGCCTGGGTAATGGGGGTATAGATCTATTAGGGATTGGTACATTTTCATAGGGTAATACTGTAGATTGATACCATTCTGCTTTATTAATTCAGCAAGTTTACCATTTGGGTTTGAAAATATTAAAGAGTGATCTCGAGATATTATATTTGGATTAGGAACCGAACCAACAACTCTAAATAGATTGGTTTCTTGAAACCCTGCAATATATTTAAGTTCTTTATAATGCCTGATATATTTTTCGAATGTATATAATCCGCGTAGTTTGGAGCCTAGTATTGCTGATATTAAGTTTTCATTTTCGTTACTATTGCCTATATAATTGACAACATTTCCCAGAACATTATTATTTATTGAAAAGAAGTTATTGTAAAAGTATGTATGGTTCTTTTGAATGCCCTGTAAATGACTTAAAAACAAATCTGGTCTTCTAATATCAATTAGGTAGAGTAAGATGTAATTTAAAAGGGTATTTATATAATTAAAACTGGCATCTTGAATATTTGAAATTGGATTTTCGATATTGTATAGAAATGCTTTGAATAACTGGTCCAAAATGGAATCAAAAGGTGCAGACTGAAAAATAAATTCAAAGGTAAATATTTCTGATTTAATGTATTCTCTTATATCAAATCTATTGAGTGCTGTTTCTGAATAGCAATTACTGGGCATAGTGAGGTCTGGAATACTATAAAGTTCGATTCTGTATAAACTTTCATTGAATGATGGTAGCTCGGCTATAAATTTAATTAGCTTCATTGATTTAATTGCAAGATAATATATTGAAAATAATGTTGATTGTTGCACTTTAACAACACCAGATTCATTTATAAATTTATAAATAGATTCAATTCTTTTGAATGGTATTAGTCCTGGTTTACCTTGAATTAATAATCTAAATAAATAGTTGACTACAAGATTAGCAGCTGAAAAATCTGATGCAGCTGATTTTGAATGATTTATAACTAATTTTATGATTTCTATTATACTATCTGGGTCACGATTCTGCAAGTCTTGATATTGGATGTACAGTGGATTTAAATAACTTTTTTTAAATACCTGTATATTATCTTGTATATCTAATAAAAATGGTTCATTTGCATTTTCCCAAACTTCTAAAAATAGCTGCGGATTGTTAACCATCGGATTAAAACCACTATTTAAATACAATGTGACTTTATTTTTTGATACTCTTTTAATTGATATAATGAACAACCTAACCCATAACCTGACATCAGCTTCACAATACCCAATAAAATTCGAAATATTTACAGAGTTTGATAATAAATCCAAACAATAATAAACACCTTGAATATTTTCCTTTTTAATAAAATAATTGATAGTATCTGCAAGTTCATCACATATTTTATCTTTTGGGTAAGTTATTTGATTTTCTTTTTTTAAAACTATTTGAAATTTGTCACAAATTGATTTTATTTCTTTAATATTTAGTGACTGTATGGCAACCTGTAATGGATACGAATAAACCAACTCCTTATTAATATATCTCGATGGACCCATCATATTGAAAACCATGGCATAATCTATTAAATCGGTTTCTAAAAATAAAAAATCTTTTGCACCAATCGAGTTATTGAATAAAAGTTTCTTATTATTCAAAATTAAGTCTATGGTTTCCCTATCTTTGATAATAAATGAACCGCAGTCTGATTTTGTTCTTTTGATAATTTCAAACCAATTGGACACTATAATTGAATGACTTGATGCCGAAAATGACTCTAATAGACAAACAAATTCCCTTTTATTAGCTTTATAGAACATTTGAAGAAAGAAAGAGGCTAATATTTTTTCTACAAAATTAAAAATATACCTATATTTCTTTTTTCTTCCAACAGTGAGGTAAAAACTGAGGTAGTCCATATATGGAGCTTTAATTTCTTTAAACTTTGAATCAATTGACGACTCTGCCATACCTGAAAAACCACGATTTATTTCTTCTATTGTTTCATTTTGAAAACCCTTCCAATCATATTTATTATTTACTAAAAATAAACTGAAATTATTGATATTGTGAAATGAAGACAATGAAATATTGGATATTTTATTACTGTATTTTTGTGTATGACTGTTAATTAATTCTAATAATCTCTGTATTCTACTATAATCTTTACTGTTGGTGGTATTGCTATTGATTATGTTTTGAATTTTTTCTTCAAACTGTTCAAACTCATCTGGTATGTAGTAATAATTGTAATCTAATAACATATTTTGATTCTCTATTGATACTACGCCATATAATATTTTTTTTAAACTAACTTTTTTTGAATTAAAATACTCAAAATAGGTATCAAACTGTTTCCTTTCGCTTTGCAATGATTCTTCAAGGAGTTCAATATTCTTTCTAACTTTGGATGGAGATGTCATTGATACAAATGGTTTGTCTATGGTTATTAAAGTTGGTGTTGCCAAGGGTATGGGTGGGTTATGATACTGGGGATTATTGAGGATTAGGGATAATAATCTATCTTTTTGAAAAACATCTTTTACTTTTTTAAATATTATTTTTATTATTTTATCTTTATATTCATTTATTAATTGACTATGGAATTTACTATTACTATTATTTTCATAACTATCTCTTGTTCTTTTTAAAAAAGTGTTATTATTATTATTACAATTAAGATTTTTTGGTGAATTATCCTGTTGTATAATATTATTTATGCCTAAAAATGAATCTAACAATAATTTAATTTGTAAAATATTTGAAGTACTTTTAAAAGACTCTTCTAATTTTGATGGTAAGACTGGAACTGAAAAAGGTGGGCTTAGTGCTATCTCTATTAAATCTTCATCGTACAAATGAATACCCTCAAGTAATAAATCTTTATTGGTTACAGAGTTTGATGATAATAGTAGTTTAAATAAATCTATTGCCAATTCTTTTTGACCCTTTCTAATGATTTCATTTAGCCACAAAGCATTATTTGTATCTATTTCTATAAGTTCATTAGCCTCTAATTTGCACTTTAATAAACTGTATTGCTTGTATTTAATTATCCATTCTAATGATGAAATATCCTTAAACTTCCTTCTATTATTACATACAATATGGTCGATATTATCATACTCTACCCAATTGGTTGTATGAATGTGATGAAATATTAATCTAAATAAAACTTTATTATGAATAACTTTATAAAATAACTTTTCAAAGTGTATTTCCATTATTTTTATTATTAACTATTTTATTATTATTTTTATTATTATTTCTATTATTATTTATTTATTTTTATTTATTAATTTTTATTTTTATTAATATTAATATTACTATTTAATTTATTATATTTAATTATTACATGCAAAAAAAAGATAAAAAAAAAAAAAAAAAAATTTAACTGAAAAAAAAAACTACATCCTTAAATAGTTTAAAAGAAATGTTTTTTTTGTTTTGTAAAAAATAAATTTATTTCTTTTTTTTTTTTTTATTTTTATTTTTTTTTTTTTTATTTTTTTTTTTTTAGGAATAAATTATTATTACTATCATTATTTTATCTTTTTTTGCAATGTATATCTAAACAATCTTTATTCAATCATATCACACAATTTTTGATGACTTCTTTAACCATATAAAAATAATATTGTTAATAAAAATTTTTATTTTGTCTTTATAAATAAAAAATACCCAAATTTACTGCGAAAGCTTTAAGCTCGGACACCAAATATTGCTATTGAGCTAAATAAATAAAAAGTGATATGTTTAATCTTGAAAAATTTTTATTTATTTTTTTTGGAATCAGTTAACGCTTTAATACCAAGGTTTTAAAATAAAAAAAACAAAAATATTTTTTTTTTTTTAAAATAAAAAAAATATTTCAATTTTTTTTTTTAATTTTTAATTATTAAATAAATGAAACCATTTTTTATTAAAAAAAATAAACACATAATAATTAAATAAATAAATAAATGAATAATATTATAAATAATAATATAAATAATATTATAAATAATAATATAAATAATAATAATAATAATAATAATAATAATAATAATAATAATAATAATAATAATAATTTTGAAATATTATTTTATAAAGTTTTCCATAATAAATATTTATTTAATTATATAATTAAACAAATTCAAATTACCGAATGGATAGAATATGAAGATACTGATCAAATTAATTTAGATAATAGAAAGAGATTCAAAGATATTGTATCACTAAAATGGATGATAAAAAATAAACAATATCAACTATTGAAATGCAAATTATATGCAAACGAACTAATAGATATAGATACCAGTATCGGCGAAAACTGGTTGGATCAACTTTTATGTACAGATAAAGAATTAGCAATTGAACTATTCAATTTGTTATTATCGTCCACATTTTTAAGTAATAAAGAAAGAGTTTATGAAAGTCTATACCAATTAGATGAAGAGTATATCAAAATAGCTTTAAATCCACCTCACTCTATTCAAGTATTTCCATCAATGCTAGAAAGATCTTTTTTTTGTTCAAGAATATCACAAATTAAACTTTTATTAGATTCATTTCTAGGCCTTAATCAACAGAGCGATTGTTCAAATAATTCTAAGAGAACAAGAGAAATCTACAAAAACCACCCCAACGACCTAATAGAAAAATACAAAGATAAAATCATTTTTACAGCATTTCAAATCCATAATATTTTTCAAAGAGATAGAGTTCTACAGCTTTTATTAAGCAATGAACAATACTACAGTAGACCAATAATCGAACAACCTCAACCAACGAAAAAAACAAAAATAAATAGTATTTCTGATAACTCTGTAAATGTTATAGACAATAATATAGATACCAATATTGAAAAAATAGAAATATTCAATATTATTCATTTTACAATATCAATAGAAAATCAAAACAAACTAATAGATCTCAAATATTATAAACAAGAAGGTGAATTTCTTGAGGAAATAATAAAATCTTATAGCGGTAATAATAGAATAATAAAAATAATGGAATATTGTAGAGACAAGCATTTAAATTTTAATACCCTAGCTTTTGCACCCTCACTATTATTAAATTTAGAAAATTTAAAACCCTTTCTAGAAAATAATAAAAACGATTGGAAAGGCAGTGCAACACAATTAGAAAGCCTAACATCAGGCTTTGAACTTTATGTATTGGAACCGGAATACATCAAATTCTATGGGTCATTAGAGAATCAAAAAGAGTACAGTTGGTTCAAATTTAAATTTATTAATGAAACCATTAGAATTACGCTCTCCACATACTTTTTCAACAATAGTCAAGATAGTGCCGATAAAATATGCAAATTAATTGAATCATTACCAACAAATGTAGAATATGTAAGAGATTGGTTAGAAATTATCAAAAGAACGTCTTTGGTGGCAAGCAAGGGTACTGATATAGGGATATGTAGAGGTGGTGGTAGTTGTAGCCTAATTCAAAATGATGATACTACAGAAGCATCAACAAAAAAAAAAAAATCATCTTTAATAATAAAGGATAAAGAAATAATAGATGTTATAAAAAAGAATTTACATTTCTTTCAAGGTTATTTAAAAGCAAGAGATTTTCTATTTTTACACCGTGAACTGGTTGACTATGCTGGTGAAATTGGTATGTTTAGTAACGCCGAAAGAAAACTAGTCTATGCCTATCCGCTACAAACTGCAATCGAGTCATTTAATTTAGATGAAATAAAGTTAATATGTGCAAATGACATTGTGAACCAACATATTCCCTATGACCCACCAATGAAGAGTTTATCAAATGAAGAGTACCATCAACTATTAGAGGCTATAAAGTTTTTTGTTTCAACTCGGTGTATTAAAGGTTCATTCTATATTTTAGACTACTTTAGCTCCCAAACCAATTTTAGAGATGGCTCAAATGATATTAATTTTGGTACCAACTACAACTATGAAAATGATGAATCCCAATTAAATGAAAAAAAAGTATTGGAATATTGGATAAAAATATTTATTATCTCAATTAAAAGACTATCAAGTCACAGAGTTTCAATATTATTAAATAGTAATATCAATCCAATTATACAACACCCAAAATTATTTTTAACCCTATGGAGAACTTTAAAACAACCTCTTTTAAGCGATATAAACAACAATATACCAATATTTGTAATTGATTTTGTAGAAAATAAAACAAATACTTGTTTTGAAACATTTCAAGTTAATAACACTGACGAAATTTTTAATATTATTAAACTATTAATAAATTATTCAAAGCAACAACAACAACAACAACAACAACAACAACAAGACCAAAATCAAAAACTGGAACAAAAAAATTTTGAAACAATTGGCGATGGGGAGAAAACAGAAGAATCATTAGAACTAGTAATAAACTATTTATTTAGACTTTTAATTCAAAGTAATAAAAAGGTGCCATTTGAAAATATTTCAACGACATATCAATTTATAAATGAGTCTGGTGTGGTAAAGGTGCAACATTCAACTCTATTCTCAATCTATTACCTATCTATTAAATCACTAAAACTTATAAAGTACATATCTGGCCTCCCATTCTTTTCTCTGGTTGATGCAACTTATTATAAAATCCCAGATCCCACCATATCGACAGTATCCACTCTAGTTGATGAACAAATATTGCAATGCTTTGATATTAGAAACTTCATAACAACTGATATATTTTCATTCGAATTTATATTTGACAAAAATTCAACCTTTGAAATCATTTTAAAATCATTAATAAACAAGTTTTTAGATACCGAAACAATCAAGGCAACAATACCAGAAGTTACAATGCAATTTATAAATAGCTTAATAAACTATACAATCGAATATTTAATTGATATAAGAAGAACAGATATACTAACCAAATGGTTAGAAACCTCAAATTTTCTATTCAACCATTTCGAATTTACAAACAACTGCACAGAAATGATACTCAAAAGCAATGATCAGGATTTAATCTTAAAAGTGTTGCAGAAATACCCCGAACAATTAAAAAGAGCGTTCCTTTCGAAAAATATAAATAAATATGAAGTTATAAAGCACTATGACACAATAGTAAAGTATATTCCATTTCATTTAAATTCCTTTGTCAGCCTATTTACAACTAGCACATCACCCGTTAAACTACATAATGCATTGTTTGGATACAACCCATCAACATCACATATAGCCGAAGTAATTGGTCAAATAAATTTAGAACATTCATCTCCATTAAATATATTACTTTTAAATTTATATCCAGATATTCCAAATTTAAATATTAAATATTTATATACCATTAATAGTTTAATAGATTCCAATTCAATCCATACATTAAAAAGACTCTATGACAACAAAGCAATCGATTTAAATTTAATACCAATTCTAAATCATATATTATCAAATCACAAAGACTATAGGTTTATTAAAAATTGGTTTCAATAATTAAATATAAAAAATAAAAAAATTAAAAAAATTAAAAAAAAAAATAAAAAACTTTTAAAAAAAAATAAAACTTTTTATTTATTAATCTTTTTTTTTTATAAAACTTTAATTATTAAAATAACTATAAAACTATGGAAAATAATATTTTAATTAAAGAGGAAATTGAATTTAATGAAAAAGAAATCAATAGCGAAAATGATTTAAAGAACCATTTTAATTTATTATCTATATATTATAAAAAAAAACTAATTGATAAACAAATATTTAAAAAACATTTACTGACCCTGTTCGATTCGATGGCAGAATATATATTTAATAGAATTGATACCATTAGCCCTGATACCGTGCTTCCCCAACTGCCCAATGAAGAATACAGTGATGAATCTATAAATGTAATACTAAACAAAACCAGTGAAATTAAAAAAAGCTATCAAGAAATAAAAGATATTAAACATCATAAACAAAATGAATTTAGAGCAGTTAAAGAAAAAATTCGAATACAATCAATTCTAGAAATAGAGAAAGAAAAAAAACAAAATGAAAAGACAATATTAAAAAACCAAAAAGAACAAGAAAAAGAAAGAGAAGATGAAAATGAAAAAACTAAAAGAGATAACCTACTTTTAAAATTTAGTTTTTTAGATTTATCAAATATTGAAAAATATTGTAATATTCAACAAGCAACGACAAACCATTTAAATTTATTGACTGCTTTATACAGAAATAACCTAATAGATAATAATACACTATTACAACACCTAAGAATCATATATGGCACTGATAATGCACAAAATTACATTAAAAGAGCACAAAACATTCCACTAAATAAACTACCAGAGATACCTAAAGACCTTCAATTACAAGAAATTTTAAATGAATCTAAAATTATAAAAGAACTAAATAATAAATAAAATAATAAAAAAACAATAAAATAAATAATAGAAGATATTCTTTTTTTTTTTAACTTTTTTTTTTTTTTTCTTTTGTTTTTAAATCAATATACAGATAAATACTTAAAAAATAAAGAAGGTTAAAATTAAAGTATAATATATTGTTCTTTTATATTTCCAAATAAATAAAAAATATTATTTTTAAAAATTAAAATATTATTGTTATTACCCCAATATTCCTCCTACAAAAAAAAAACTATTGATTTCATTATTTGAATTATATAGTGATAAAAAATAAAAAAAAAAATGAAAAAAAAAAATGGGTAGGATTTTTTTTTTTAATTAAAAAAAATAATTTGGTTAAAGGAATTCGAGTGCGAAGCAAATCATCATTTTTCTTCTATAACCTATTAAAATTAACAGCAAAGCACATGAAAACTAGTTTTGATTGCGTTATATGATTTTTAAAACAAATAATTTTTTATGTATTAAAATAAGATAATTCATTTTATTTATTCATTTAAAAAAGATTATATAATCTATTTTGTTTTTTTTTTATCAATATAAAAAATAATTGATAAAAAATTAAATTTAAATTTATAAAAAAAAAAATAAATAAAAAAATAAAAATAAAAATAAAAATAAAAAAAAATTAAAATAAAAATAAAATATTATTATTAACAGATTATGGCATTCAGAAAACATTGTCAAATATTAAAAGGCATATGAAACCTAAAATAATTTATTCATATGATATTCAATATGTATTTTTTATCTATGTTTATAAAAACCATTGAGAAAATAGTATAATATAAAATTATCCTAAAAAGAAAAAACTAAACACATGGATAATTTTTTATTTATTATAAAATTTTTTCAAAAAAAATATAAACTACACATCCTGAAAATTAAAGTAGTATTCTCAAATTATTATTATTATTATTATTATTATTATTATTATTTAAGTCTTAAATCTTTGTGTGTAATCTTATATTTTTTTTTTTTTATCAAATAACTTGTTTTTTTAAAAAAAAAAGAGGTGTTTCAAAAATTAAAAAAAAAAATAATAAAATAAAATTAAATAAAATAAATTTTAATATTCAACAAACTATTCATCTAATTTTAAAAAAACGTTCATTAAACTACGTAGTAAGTTTATTTGTAGATAAAAAGAATATTTGTAATCAACACACCAAATTGTGTGTTTTTTTAAAAAAAACAGTTAATCATGAGTATTTTTAAACACTAAAAATAAGATAAATTTTAATAATAGAACCTCAGAATACATACACATAAACTTAAAAAAAAAAACATTCAAAAATGGATTGGTTAACCCAATAGTTTTTTAATTTTAGAAAAAAAAAAAAAAAATCCTTTTTTCGTGACAGCCTCAGTTGACACTTTTTTTTTTTAATTTTATTTTTTTTAATTTTTTCCAATTTGGATATTTTAACTGTTATTTGAAACAAAAACAAAAAAAAAAAAAAATCTATTTTTATATTAAAAAAAAAATAAAAAATAAAAAAAAATTAACATTAAACGTGGCTTTTATCATAAAAAAAAAAAAAAAAATCTCCAGAGACAAACAAAATGATTTAATTCACCCCACTTCAATGTGTCATGAGAAAATTTTATTATTTTTAATATGATAACTGAAAGCGCCAATATGATTGCAATGCAATAAAAAAAAAAAAATTCGTGTCAATATACCAAAAAGAATTTTTTTTTTAATTTTTTTTTGGTTAAAAAGAAAACAGTATTCAGATTTGAAAAATGGTTAGTAGTTGGAGGCTTTTTTTTATTATTTTTTTTTTTTCTTTAAAATAACAGACAAGAAAAAAAAAAATAAAAATAAAAAAAAAATAAAATTTATTAAAATGGGTATTAGTTATTTTAATTTATTTTATTTTTATTATTTTATTTAATTTTATTTTATTTTATTTTTTTTTTTATTTTTTTTTTTTTTTTAATACAAAAAGAAAGAGTATAAATTAATAAAATTTTTCACAATTGTTTTTTTTTTCATTAACAATTATTTATTATAATATTATAATTTGTACTTATATAAAAAAAATGAACTTCTTAAAATCATCAGTTGCCTTATTAGCCCTCGTTGCTGTCGCTAAAGCCGATTTCAACACTTTCACATTTGCCAATGCTGATGCATCCTCAACCACTTGTGCTGCTGATGGTGCTGTTACTGTTGTCAATGAATTAGAAAAATGCACTGTTGTTTGTGGTAATGCCAATGTCCAAATTGCCTCAACTGATACTGCTGGTACTTTTGATGTTACTTATTTCACAGAAGCCGCATGTGCTGATACACCAGCACCAGCTGCCGAATCACTCGTTTGTGTTGAAGGTACCGCTGTTACCGTCGGTGATTATTCAATTACCTGCTCAACTGTCACCGAAGCCCCAACTGAAACCCCAACTGAAACCCCAACTGAAAAACCAACTGAAACCCCAACTGAAAAACCAACTGAAAACCCAACCGAAACCCCATCCACCACCGAATCATCATCATCATCAACTCTTTTAGTCAGTGTTACTATGGTTGCTGCTTCAGTCGTTGCTGCTTTACTTTAAATTATTTAAAAAATGTTAACAAATACAATACGAAACAATTAAAAATCACTCTTTTTTTTATATAATTAAAATAAATAAATAACTATATAATGAATAGTTGTATATTTAAAAACAAATTTCCTTAACTTTTTTTTATTTTTTTTTTATATTTCAATCGAAACCACTAAGAAATTTGATAATAAAATATATATATTTTTAATAAATATTTTTGTTTATTAATTTAAATTTGGATAGGATTTTATCAGGCTATAGGATGAATGATCGGAAAGAAGAGATGCGGGGCTTGAACCAAAAAGGGTAAACTATTGGTTTAGATAATAACATTAATATTTTGATTTATATTTATAAAATATTATTTTTACTGCCATAAAATTGTAATTATTATGACAACACTAGTTTTTTTTTATTATTAATATTAAATTGCAATTACTTAATTATAAACAAAAAAAAAAAAAAAAAAATTAATTATTTTAACCATCGATTTTTTGTTAAATATCATTGGTAATGTGGGTGTAAATAAAGAAAAAAAAAAATAAAAAAAAAAAAAAAGAAAAAATAAGAAAAATAAAATAAAAAAAGAAAATTAAAATTTTTTTTTTTTATATGACCAGATTTTTTATTTGTTCTAAATTTTAATTTAATAAATTTAAAAATTTAAAATTATAATGATTTAATAATTGATTTCTTAAAAAATCTAATTGGCCATCCTCTTCTATTAGACCGTTTTGATAGTAATACTGAATAATATTTATCTTTTTTAAATCCACAGCTTTTAATAACATATCTCTGGTAATTTCATATTGGGCAAATGGTAAATTAAATATTAATAAATCACATAGCTGAATATTGCCATTGATAAATGATTGCTCAAAAAATGAATGTGATTCTATAAATATTTTTAAAATTTTTGAACGATAATCTGTGCTGCCATTTTGATTTGCTATGTTGATGTCGTTATTAGCGCCACTATTTTGATTAAAGAATATAAAATATTCAACTTTTCTAAAATCATTGTTTCTAAATAATGATAACCAATTTAATTCTAATAAATTTAAAAGTTGTATAAAGTTACTGAATATGAATATTAGAATCGAGTTGTTTTCGATTGATAAACTAATGTTTGCTAATTGTTGAACTAAATTTAATTGATTATTATTTAATACTTGATTAACTATATATTCATTATTATTATTATTATATTGCAGAATATTATTTAATAGTAAAAATTTTTTAAAATTATTTATATTTAACTGTGATAGGATGGAGTGTAATAATTTATCAGTAAATTTAAAGTTATTGCTTATATTGTTTGAATCATTACTATTATTATTACTGTGTTTATTATTGTTTTTAATGATTCTATTATTTAAACAATTATCTAAATGAATAAAGAATGAATCATATTTATTAATTTTTAATAAATATTCAAAATCTTCTTCGATTGATTCATCCAGATAGTTATTTGATAGCTTAATATTTTGATAAAGTGGTTCAAAGGTTAGTTGATAGTTTAATTTGAAAAATAGTTGTTCAAAGCTAGATTGTTCAATAATATAATCCCATGTAAAGTGAATTGTATCTAAAAGATTTGATATATTGTAGATTGAATCTTGAGGAAATTCTTTACCTGTATAAAATTCATTGGTAATAAAGGAGCATTGGGATCTTTGTAATGATTCCTGATTGTAGAAACCAAATATATTAATGATGTTTCTTTTTGAAACTATATAGTTTGTCAATAGAGGTGATTTTAGTTTTAAATAAAAAAACACATGGAATATTTCATGAAAAACGGGAACTTGATTTTGTTTTAAAAGTTGATGAATTGGCTTTACCACCTGTAGTGTGATATCTTTAATTTGTAATAATTTTTTAAATAGATGATTTAAAATTGTTAAAATTATTAAATTGTTTTGACCCGATAAAATACCATTTGATTCTTTGAATTCCAATACCCAAAACTTTATGAGCAATACTAGTTGTTCTGAATCTTGATTAATTGAATAGATTTGGCGATAGGTATTGAAAATATAGTATTTTTGATTTTGAACCTGCTCTTTCCATTCGCTATTGAATAATTCGTAGTCAATGATACCATTGAATGTGGAGTTTTTTAAATTTAGCCAAATCATTTGAACGATTGGTAGATTAAATTCAAATAAATAATTGATCAATTGATTAAATGCTGATTTTTGTAAGATGGTAGTGGAATAGTTAATTTCTAATTTTAATAAATCTAAATGACTATTCGATGAAAGATCTGATGAGGAGGTGGGGGGTGTGGATGTCATTTGTTTTCTTGTTGCGTTGCTTTTTTGGTTTAGTTTTTGTAGCTTAATTGTTTCAAATAATAAATTTGTGAATAATATAAATTGGTGGGTGTTAAAGAATTTATACTGAATAGAGTTTAAATAGCCAAGTAGTTGTTTAATATTATTCATTGGTTGTTTTGAAAATAGTGAGGATATTTCGCTTTGAATTTGATTATAATGATGATTTTTTATAAATTTCAACTGTATTGTATTGTTTAAAAATTTTAAGTTTTCAATATTACATTCATTTAATGATTTATAAAAAATAAACCAATAAATAAAATTTTTAAAATTATTATTAAAATTATATAATGCTGGAGGAGAAGTGGAGCTATTTGATGATGATGGGTTGTTTAGTGAGTTTGAAGAGGAGGATAGTGATAATGATAATGATGAAATGGACGAGGATAGTGATGAAAATGGTGATGTTAAAGTACTAATTGAATTACCAGATGATGATAAAGAGTTGTTCGAATTTGATGATGATGATGAAGAGAATAAATTAAAAAGTCTATTGCTACTATTATTTAAATTATTTGAACTCTTATTTAGTTGGTTTCCATTATTTGAAATACCGCTATTATTACCACTGTTATTTAAATACTCTTTTAATTTAACAAAAAAAGTATTTGAAAGTTCAATTGATTGAAATTTGAATTTAAAGTAGTCTAAATTTTGAAATTCGTTACTAAATTGGTCAATTGATTGTATTTTTGAAATAATTTTCTTTAAAATTGAATTTCCATATTGATTTGAAAATAACCAATTAATAGTTGCGGTATCATGAACTTCAATAAAACCCTTTTTTTTATTTTCCAACCAGTATGGATTCCATGATGGCAGTTTCTCTGTTGAGTGAATGTATGCAGTTACTGATAAATAAAACTCTAGTGTGGAGCACATTGAGACTTTAAATAAAAGCTTGTCCCATTTTTTATAATAAACGCTAGAGTTGCTACTTGAACGGTAAAGATTTATAAAAAGTAGAGCTCTCTTTTGATTGTTCATTATGGCTTCTCTGTTGAAATCGCATTTTAGTTGTAGATCTGGCTGAACAATATACTTTCTATTTATAAGGTAATTCAAGGCATTGGGGCTAAAGTTTTGAAATGCAAATCTATAAACTATACAGTCATCTATAAACTCTTCGATTGGGTCGTCATATTCCAACAAATAGTTATGGTAGAGTTGGCCTGAGTTTGAAATTTTAATAATAATTAACTTTAGTCTCTTTTTGATTTCACTAATTTTAACTTGATTATCATAGTCTATTCCATTTATACTGGCACTTGGGTTATAATGAAAAACTTGATTAATTTGATTTTGAACTGATTCTGGTATTTTATTTTCACTAGTTTGAAAACATAGTTTGAAAATAACTTTAATATAAAATTCCAACTCTCTAATTGAGCAGTTATTTAAAGTTTTAATTGTATCTGAAAAAATCGAAATCTTTGATTTGTTGACTAAATTTAAATCTAATAATTTATTTTTTAATTCGAATGATTTAATTGATAAAAAGTCTTTAAAGTCTACTTTGGCTAATTTTTTTAATTTTTCTAAATTATAACCATTTAAATTATTATTGTTACTACTATTAATATTCTTACCAAAATCATTATTACTATTATCATTATTGGAGTGAAAGTATGTATTGTTGAGTTTATTACTATTGCTATTGGTTTTGTAACTATTTTCACTAAAACCATCGTTATTATAACCATTATTACTACCAGAGTCACTAAAATTATAACCATTACTACTTTTGCTAATACTTGATAATGTCGAAAAATAGGGATTTAGTTCTTTTTCTGTTGTAAAGTTTTCTTCTTCTATCGTATAAAGGTCAGGAAAATTAAAGATCAGTTCTAACATTTCATCTCTATACTTTTCATTTGAACATGCCAGTTTTATTGAAATTCTTTTGGTATCATCACCGACTATTAAACCATTATATTCAGTTGCGTCTATAATTGACTCTAAGAGTTGCGCGCTTTTACTCTCTATAATTGATTCTAGTACACTCGGAAAAATTGGTATACAATGATTTTTAAATAAAAAAACTAACACTTTATCCCTATTATATTTTATTGCATAATCGATTAATAAAGGTGATTTAATTTGTTTTTTAATAATTTTTAATAATTTTTGTTGATAAATATTGTTTTTACTATTATAACCATCAATATCATTATTATTATCATTGTTATTATTATTATTTAAGATAGAGTCTGCGCTAGTTGTAGATGATTTTATTGACTCCAATGAATCTTTTAATTTCAATTTTTGCAATGATTCTTCTAGACCTTCTAAACTACCATTATCATCTTCTTCTTTGCCAAAATTTTCGGTGGTAAGATCGGGGTGTTGTGGTTCAAATGATTCTTGTTGCTCGGCCTCTTGTTTCCTTTTTTGATGTTGTTTTTGTTGAATCTGTTGATTAAGTTTATTATAAATACTGACATGTTGTAATTTTAAAAGAAGATCTATAATTTCGATTAATTGATCATCATTAAGGAAATCACATGATTTTGAGAACAATAGCTCTAAAGATTCATCTGTGCACCTAATATATCTATTTTCTTTTAATTTGTTTAATAGTAATTGGATCCTTTTTTGACTATTATTCTTTAAGAACCATTCTAATTCGCATATATCTTCTATACTTCTTTTGTTACCAATATAATAATATCTATCAATGTCATCTTCACCTTGATAATTACAAATACTGTTATTCTCTTCTCTAACTTTATCTAATATTAAATTGAATATTTTTTTTTCGTTTCTAACTATATACCAAAATAATCTTTCATTATAATTCATCTAAAAGATAAAAAATAAAAATTAAAAATTAGATATTAAATTGATTTAAAAAAAAAAAATTTTGGAATTAAATTACTCTTTTTTCTTTTTTTAAGAGAAAATATACAATAAAAAAAAAAGAATTTTGAATATAAATTAAATTGGGTATATGTATATGTATTTGGGTATTTGTATTTATGTATCTATGTAATGTTAATTTATGCGTTTGAGGATAAGTCGCTGAAATTTGATAACAAAAAATAATAAAAAAAAAATTAAATAAAAATTTTCAAAAAAAAAATTTATAAAAAAAAAAAAATCCATTTCGTTTTTATTTGAAATCTTTTAGGACTACCAAAAGATATTTAGAATATGAAAAAGAAGATTGGAAAATGTAACAAATAATAATTGATATTAAAAGGTGATTCACCAATGAAATTCTAAAAAAAAAAAAAACCAATAAAAAAATAATAAAAAATCAAAATTTTTTTAAACAATATATATATATATATTATAATTTTATAAATAAAGTATATGTGTGCTATTATTTAATTTCCAATAAATTTAAATTGTTTAAAAAAATTATATTTCTTTTTATAAAAATAAATTTCTTTTTTTTTTTTTTTTTTTTTTAAATTTTTCAAATTTTTTTAAAAATTTTTAAAAATTTTTTTTTTTCTTTTAATTTAATAACCCCAATCTAAATATATATCATTACAATACTATTACAACAATACCAATAATAATAAATATTAAACTATAAAAGAAATAAATGAATAAATAAAAACAATAATAAATTAATATAGTTAGTAAAGAAAAAGCAATCATTAAATGGAATTTTTAAATTATAAAATTAATGTTAAAAATAAAAATATTACAGTGCCAAATTCAGAAGTAAAAAATTTTCTTAAATTTAATCCAAGGGGTATAGCAGTTGCAACAAGAGAGAACTTATATGCATCAATCAAAAAGGTAGACTATGATATATATCAACTTGCAACTGCGATCAGAAAGAAAGGTAAAGATGCAGACGATGAATCTCCCCTATTTGGGTACTATGGGTTCACTATAGAGTGTTTATTGGCGGTTTTAAATGTTTTAAAAGAGAAAATAACATTCAGAGAGTTTTCAAAATTAAATAAAAATCAGTAAGTGTTTTCAGGTATTATTATAGTTGTAATTTAAACACAATCTAACATTTATGTGTATATTTCAATAGACCAAATTTAGTAACATCGATAGATAAAATTAAAAATGAAATTTTTACAAGCCAATTATTTGACGAGCTTTTAAAGATTTATACTCTTTGGTATTTACCCTATGAGGATACAAGTTTTCTCAAGTTTCTTAGTTGTTTTAGTCCATTAGTTAGCAAGAATGCTTTGGATAATGTAGCATCATCATTTCACTTAAATCAAAAAACAGAGACAATATATAGTTTAAAGTTTTTGGATGCACTTTTAGAAGGAAATATTTCACTCTACAACGATATTACAGATTTAAAAGTTTTAAAATTAACTGAAAGAAACAAAAATGGCCAACTCACTTTTATTCATTCTCTATATTACGATAATGTTGAAGAATTCAAACTATTATTTAAAAACAAATACATAGATATCAGTAATATTGATAACAGCAATAATAATAATAATAATAATAATAATAATATTGATAATGATGATAGATATTTAACAACAGAAGAGTTTTGGTATTTAGTTTGTATCCATGATTCTTTACAAATTTTCAAAATTTTAACACAAGAATATAATATATTTGGCGAAAATAAATCAACAAATAATGGTATATATAAAGAGAAAATTAATATCAATATCAACACAAAGAAATTATTTTCAATTGCTTCCTCAACATTTTCAAAATCAATATGTGAATATATGATTGAAATCAATCCAGATTTATTTTATAAACAAGATTCTGCTGCCAATGGTATCCAAATAGATGAACTTATAGAGCCACTACCAAAATTCAATATTATGTCATTTGAGACAGTTTATCCCAATCCAAATTTAACAAGAGATAGGGTCACAGATTTTTTCAAATTTTTAACAAACCAAAATATATTTTTAGATCTTAAGCTTTCAACTCCGATGGATAAATTAAAATTATCAGCAATTCATCGAATGGAAACATCTTATATAGGCACTTCATCGTCATTACCTATAGAGCCACCTACCATATCATCACCACCTTTATCAACATCACCTACAGATTCCGTTAGTAATATAGATATAAACATTGATGCTCTTGGAACCACAGATGACGAAGAAGTACCTAAAAAATCAACCATTGTTCAATTTAATTCAAAATTTAAAAGAGATAATCTTCTATCATGTATAATATCAACACTCGATGAAAAAATATCTCAATCATTTATAGAATTTGTAAAGAAAATCTCAAAATCGGCATATATTAAAAGTGAATATTTACACGAAGACGATTTGTTTCTTTATATATATCTTTTTCCTGGTCATCCAGCTATGCTCCACTTGGTGTATGACGTCAAATCGAGATTAGTTTATAGAGGAGTTCCACTAATCTTTTTTGCCAATGACCTTTCAATGCTCTCAGGATGTGTAAACTTAACAAAATCGGAGCAATTTACAACAATATGCTTCAATAGTTATTTAAACGTGTTAAAAAGGTATGGTCTAGAGGGGGATTTAGATATTCCACCACTGGTACAGAAAACACCAGAGTTTACAACCAGGCAATTTACAGTTTTAGAATTTTTCAAGGTGAGGGATCAGGTTATAGTGGACCCTTCAAGAAGAGTTATTGAATCAATACCAGATATTTGTTTGAATTCAAATAATAAAATATTAGAGTCAGAAGAAATTGCTGAAGCTTTAACCCGTATAATGGCACTAGATAATATAGACTCTTTAAAATCTGAAATCAACGATAAAAAACTTGAACATTTAAGGTTAAAAGAGGAATTAATAGAACAAGACAAACTTCATCGCCGTTTAAAAGAAGAAGAGTTATTAAAACAATTAGAAGAAGAAAAGAAAAAAGAAAAAGAAAAAGAAAAATTAAAAAAACAAAAAGAAAAACAATTAAAAAAACAGCAACAACAACAAAAAGAATTAAAGCAACAAAAAGAACAAGAGTTAAAACAAATAGAATTAGAAAAGCAGTTAAAACTAAAAGAGCAACAAAAGGAAAAAGAAAAAAAAGAAAAGGAACAAAAGGAAAGAGAAAAAAAAGAGGAAGAACTGCAGCAACAGCAAAAGCAACAACTACAGCAACAACAGCAACAACAGCAACAACAACAACAACAACAAAAGCAAAAACCTCAACAAACCAAAAAAGAAAATGTTAAAATTGAAAAGCAAGTCGAAACAAAATTAACTATAAATAAAGAACCACTTAAATCTCCCACTCAAAGCGTAAAACAAACTACTACTTCGACTCAAACACCATCACCACCAATAACAATGAAAAATGAATATAATATTAAAATTGGTAAATTTAGATTCAATAAAAAAGAAGAAAATATATTGGGTAGGGGTAGTAATGGTACATTGGTTTTTAAAGGTTTATGGAATGATAAAATACCTGTTGCAATCAAACAAATGCAAAAAGCATTCAATCCATTAATCAGTAAAGAAATTGAAATTTTAATAAAGCTAACAGATAAGAACTGCTTAAATTTAATTAGATATATTGATCAAGAAGAAGATGAAAGCTGCGTTTATTTAGGGTTAACTCTATGTGAAGGTTCGTTACAAGAGTTGTTTGACAAGAGACAATTAGAACAATTTATAGGCTCTGAATCAAGATTGTTAGAGTTAATCAAAGATATAATCAATGGTATTGAATTTCTTCACTCTCAAGATATTGTACACAATGATTTAAATCCAAGAAATATTTTAATTAAAGATCAAAGGCTAGTAATATCAGACTTGGGTCTTAGTAAAATGGAAGTTTCAACATCATATTCATTCTCAATGCACACTCCTACTGGTCAAGAAGGTTACCATCCCGCAGAGGTATTAATGGAAAAACGTAAAACCAAAGCAGTCGATGTCTTTTCATTAGGTTGTATACTTTATTTTATTATGACCAATGGACAGCATCCTTTTGGTGATCAATTCTTTAGAATTGCTAATATTATTACCGATCGTCCAAATCTTTCATCATTAGCAACAGTTAACCCCTTGGCAGCAGATTTAATTGGCCATTTAATCACCAAGAATGAAAAAGAGAGACCCACTATATCATCAATTCCAAATCATCCGCTATTTTGGAACCATTTCAAAAAGATTGCATTTATTGATGCAATTTTAAACCTCACTAAGGATTCATCTATTTTCACACCAAAATTTAATAAGCAACTAAATGAAATTGATGAATTAAACTTTGTAAATATTAACCAACCAAATAATAATATGTATTATTATAATGTAAATAGTCAAAACAACACCTCACAAATATATAATAATAATCATTTAATTAATAATACCAACAATAATAATAATAATAATAATATCAATAGTAATAATAATCTCCCACCATTTTTACCAAAAACATGGAATCAATTAATTGACTCTATATTATTAGATCACATTACAAATAAACAAAATCAAATAATGCAAGAAACTGGTAAAAAAATCTTTATCTACCAATACGATCAAGTTAAAGATTTAGTACGTTGTATTAGAAACACAATTCAGCACCATAAAGAGATATCAAAACAAATTTTACAATCTTCAAAAGGTACAATCATAGGCAGAGAAGTTTTAGAATGTTTAAATAATCAAGAATCTGTATTGAACTATTTCGAGTCTAAAATTCCAAATCTAATCTATCATCTTTACCAGAAAATTAAATCTCACATAGACTATAAATCAATTAATTATTTGAATGAATTTTTTATTATTTAAAATAAAGTTAATTAAATATTATATTATAAAATAGTTTTTTAATATATAATAGTTTTTTTTAATTACTATTATTTTTAGTTATTTATTTAATAGTTGCATTGTTGTTATTGTTGTTTTGGTTCATTGTTGGTGTTTATATATAAATATTTAAAGGTGTGTTTATAGTATGATCGAAAGAGTAAAAAGTGATTTTGTATATTTGTTTTTATAGTTTTATTTGATTTTAATTTAATTTTAACATTTTATAATTCTGTGGCCACGATTACCGGTCATCATCATCTTCACCTATTGACAAAATTTCTAAAAATGCTGAGCAGTTTGAATTGCTGCTTGTAGTAGTTCTGCTTCTGCCTGTATTACTGTGTGATTAATGAAAAGGATAGTGTGTTAGTAAATTTGAATATTTAAAACAATCTGGTGTAAATTATATATTGGTATTTATTGATTTATTTACTTATTGATTATTGAACCACCATTTGAGGTTGAAGCTGTACAAAAACTTGAAGAGGTTGAAAAGGTTGAAGCAAAGTTTGAAGTTGATGAAGCGGCACCAGCAGTAACAAAATTAGATGATTTGCTGGAAAAAGCTTCAGCGGTTAAAGTAGCTTTACCACTATTAACTCTACTAAAGTTTTTTGATGCCTTTAAAGTTTTTGAAATAAATCGAAATGATTGAGCATTCATTTTATTTAATCTAATATAATATATAAAAATAGTAAAATAAAAAAATAAGCACAAATAATGATAATCAATGAAAAAAAATTTTAAAAAAAAATTAAAATTTTTTTTTTTTTTTTTTTTTTTTTTTTTTTTTTTTTTTACATAAAAAATTAAAAATAAAAATTTAAAAAAAAAAAACGAAAAAAATAGAAGGGGTTTATTGCGATAAATTCATTTGGTTATTAACATTGTGATTAGTTTTATTATCTTTATTTACTTGAAGATTTAAATGGTTTTTTATAATAATTAATTAATTTTTTTATTTATTTTTTTATAATTTGGCTTTTAAATTGGATCCTTAATGAAATTTACATTTAAATTTCATTCTAAAATGTGCCTTTTTTTTTTTTGCCAAATGGAATTATAATTCCAAAATCTATCAAATTTATTTTAATTATAATAACCTTGAGTCATGATATTTTTTTCATTCATTAACTAACCCATCATCTAGATTCTAAAAAAAAAAAGTAAAAATTAAATTTTTATTTTATTTTTATTTTTATTTTTATTTTTTTTATTTTTTTTTTAATTTAAAAATTTTTTTTTTTCATTCATTAAATATTTTTTTATATTTATAAAATTATATTAAATAAATACTTTATGGAAAATATAGATATTAATCATAATAATAAAAATACAAATAATAACATTGAAAACAAAAATTATAATAATAATAATAATAATAACAATAATAACAATAACAATAAAAAAGAAGATCTATTTTTACAAATATGGAAAAATCTATTTTTAAGATTAGTAATCTTAAGAAAACTTAGACAATTTCAAATATTTGATTCAATTAAAATTAATTTAAATGAATCATTTTTTCAATCTCCTTACAAGGAATATGTTAAGAATTTAGTATATGAATATTTTATAGATGATGACAGTGGCAGTAGTAGTGATAAAGAGATAACATTAAATAATAATAGTTTATTAAAATCAATACCACAAAATATTAAATATATAAATTTTATTATATTATCAAATACAACAAATAGTAGAAATAATAATAATAATAATAATAATAACTCCTTAATAGAATTTCCAAACTCAATAGAATCTTTAAAATTAATTACAAATAATAGATTTATAAATGTTTCATTGATACTACCAGAAAATTTAATCAAATTGGATCTATCAAATTTTCATTGTTCATTGCCTCTGGAGACAATTTTAGAGAATCTACGTAAAACAAATAAACTAAAAGTGTTATTATTAAGCAACCAATCTTTTAGAGAGGGTGGTCTAGTAGAATCAATTACTGACTTGGACTTGGGCATTTCAAAGCAAAAATACTTACCTGGCCATTTTCCAAAGGGTTTAAAGAGACTAAAAACTTCCAAATACTTTAACCAGCCATTGATGGTCAATAGGGTCATCTATGAAACTGTTTTAAAGAGCACCTTTAATATAGAGCAGGCTTTACCATATTTCGATAACCACAACTTGTTCCCAGACAATTTAGAGACATTGATTTTCAACGATGCATTTAATCAATCAATAAACTCTGTATTACCAAAATCATTAACCACCCTCAAGTTTATTAATGAGTCAGATTTTAACCAACCTCTATCCGGTAGCTTCCCACCATCACTTTCATTTATAAAGTTTGGTAAATGGTTTAACCAAGACTTTAGAGTTTTACCAAGTTTAACAAAATTAAAACTAGGTGTTTCCTTTCAAAGAATCTTTGATATCCAGAGTAATCCACCAAGCGCTTTAAAGAAAATAAGATTCAAGAGTTCGTTCGAATCTAATCAAACCATCACTGTAAATACTTTTACTAAAAGCTTGCCACCAGGCCAATTAAAATCTGTACATTTGTCATCACATCAAACCATAGAACCAAACTCTATCCCATTCGGTGTAACAAGTGTAAGAGATTGTAATTGGTCAATGGTTCATTTATTACCAGCATCTGTAACAAAGCTTAAATATGAAAGCGAACTTCTCGAGATACCAATGGTTGGTGGAGATGTAGCTGTTAGACAACAAGTGCCAAAAAATATAAAGTCTCTATATCTTTTAGGATTAAAAGAAACAAGCAATAGTTTACCCTCTACTATAGATCATTTGGAGTATGGTGGTAAAGTATTATTTAATAAGAGATCGAGCAATGGTATTGGTGCTCCTAGTGATCCTATAGTTATAAACAATAAGAAACTACCACAACATTTAAAAATATTAGTACTTAAAGAGGAATCAATTTTAAAAACATTAGAACCCAATTCATTACCACCAACATTAACAGCACTTTCAATAAACAAAACTAGATCACCAATAGAAATTGGCCAGTTACCCTCATCTTTAAAAATTCTCGAGCTTGGACCCAAATTTAATCAAAACATAACAAATGACTGGTTACCCCCACACATAGAGGCATTGGTAATAAGAAATAGAGCTATTCAAATTGAATCTCCATCTGATTTACCATCATCCCTAAATTGTATTTATCTCTCAAGCCAATCAATTATAATTAATCAATTCAATCAATTCTTGCCCATTCTAGTCGATAAGATACATGTATTTGATATAAATTCAAAATGTAAAACAAAATTATTTAAAAAACTATTAGCAAAGATAAAATAAAAAAAAAATAATTAAAGGTACAAGTTTTTTTTTAATAAATTAAAATTAATATTATTTATTTTAACCAATTAATATATATATAGTCTTTATGATTTAATAGTTTGTTTTTAGTATATAATAATAGATTTTCATCTATCATTTTATTATCATAAAGTTGCTTTAAAAAAACTATAGAGTTTGAATTTACTATATTATCTATAATGGATTCTGAAAGCTGTAAATCTGGGTGGTTTGGATATGTATTTAATAAGGAATAATAGAGTTTAAAAGATATCTGTTGTATAGGAAGGCATTTGGTGTGGTGTCTAATAAAATTAGTAAAAGAAATTTCTCTTTTTGAAAAAATAGAATTATATAGACACGAGGTTATTAAGGTATCGGGTGTTATTGTGTTTTTGGTATCAATGGTGCAAATATTAACTATATTTCTTATTTGGTTATGATATTTTATTAATAGCGATGATTGGAGTAGATTATTTAGTTTATCTGTTTGATTTAGTATTGCTGAGAGTACGATTTCATCACCACCACAAAGAGCATAGTCTAGGCAACGTTCAGAGAATTGAAAATGGTTATTAAAATAGCTTGGGAATCTGATTTGAATGGTTTCTAAATGTTGTAAAAATAAATCTGATCTCCTAATCATTAATAGGAACTCTAGAGTATGATTAATTAACTCTTTACCACCAAAATTGCATTTTGTTTGGTCTGAAAAAAATCGAGTTTCTTTATATATAAACTGATTGATTAATTTATTTAAAATTGCATCGAATGTTGAATATTTACCAAATATAAAATCAAACGAGAATTCTTTTGGATCTAAATAATTTCGAAGATCGAATGGTTCTATTCTTTGCTCGAGTCCTTGTTCAAAGCAATATGTTGTATCTGGTAGTTTGTAATAATAAAATTGATAAAGTTTAAATTGTGGCACACTTGAAATATATTTTATTAAATTTCTTGACTTTATTGCGAGATAATATACCGAAAACAGAGTTGAATGTTGAACCTCTACAATACCAGACTCGTTTATAAATTGGTGAGTCAATGAAATCTTTTCAAATGCTACATTTTCACTTTGAATTAATACCCTAAATAAATAATTAATGGCTCTGCTTAAAGCTTCTCTATATTTTGCTTCTTTTATATGACCATTATTATTTATTAGTTGTTTTGAATTGTTTATTAATAATTGAACCATATCAATAATTTGGTCTGGGTCTCTTTGGGAACATGGATGTGTTATAAATGAGCATTCTATGGTTTGAGGACTAGTAAATATTGGGATTTCATCGAAAATATCTGGTAATAGTTCGTTTTCATTCATACCCTCCCATACTTCAACAAATATTCGAGGGTATTTCACTATGGGATTAAATTTGATCCTGTTTAAGAGATTGTTGAATTTATATTTAGATGCTCTTTTAATGGTTGCAATGAATAATTTAATCCATAGTTTCAAATTGCTTTTACTTGAATCTTCACCATCAAAGGCCAGGTTTTGAAAAGCTTCGTTATCGGGTATTAAGTCTAAGCAAAAATATAAACCCGCGATATTTCTATTTGAAATAAAATAGGTTATGGTTTCTAAAAGTTGGTCTATTTGCTCATTAGATAGCCTCTTTGATAATTTGATATGGTCAATTTTTCTCTCTAGTTCAATAATGTTGAAATTACAATTGTCTATGACTAATTTTATTTCATTTAAGCCAAATGATTCAAGGGCATTCTTGAGTGGAAATATAAATGCATTTATCTCATTAATATTTGGTAACTTTAGTTGAACTTTGTTAATTGCATAATCCAGGGATTCATAGTTTAAAAATAACAGATCTTTTGCTTTACTATAGTATTTGAAATCCTTAAATAGTTCTTTATAATTTGTAATTAAATCTACTGTTTCTTTATCTTTGATGGCAAACCTATATTCATTTACATCCTTTGAACCAATTGTATGCTTTGGGATTGTCACGGTAATTCTCTTTATTACTTTTAACCATTTCGAAACCAATTCGCTTTTATTTGATAATGAATTTATAAAGCTGTAGAACTCTTTATTTTCGAGAGTATAGAAATAATGGGAAATCGAATATTGAATACTCCTTTGGACAAAGTTGCAGATAAACCTATATTTTTCTCTACCATATAGAACTGAATAGTAATATTTAATAAAATCTTGACTTAAAATTGTATGGAACGCTTCATTTCTATTTCTTTTGATAGCCCTGAACTCTTTTTTAACTCTTTTCCAGTCATTTTCATTATTTGATAAAAATAGTTTTAAATTTTCAATTTCAAACAATTCCTTTTCAATATAACCAAATCTTTTTATTTCTTTTTCTTCATAAGCGGAGGTACTATATTCATCCATCTCTCTAAAAAGACCCGTAAGTTTGAGAATTCTTTTTTTACCCAATTCTTTAATATCTATTATATCTTGAATTATTTGTTCATATTGCTCTAATTCTTTGGGTATATAATAATAGTTTAAATCTAGAAGCTTGTTTTGGATATTTAGTGAAACTACATTGAATACTATATCTTGGATGTCGATTTTCCCTAAATCGTCTTGGTATGATAAGGTTGGTGGTATATGATAGTCTGGGTTACTGATTATAAGTTGGAGTATTTTATCTCTTTGAAAGATACTGTTTACTTTTTTAAATACATTTTTAACAATAAGATTTTTATATTTATTCATTAATTGGTTTATGTGGGGTTGATTGTTACTATTATTATAATTTTTTAATAATGATTCTATTTGTGAAATGGTTGATTCATTAAATGATTTTTCTAATAGTGAGGGTATTATTTGTATAGAATAGGGAGGATTTACAGCAATTTGAATATACTCTTCATCTAGTTTATGAAGCTGATGGAATAAATTATCTTTATTGCTAATTGAGCTTGATGACATTATTTGGTGGAAAAGGTCTAATGCTAACATTCTATCGCTCTTTAAAAGTTGGTTTAATATATTTGTATCAGGATAGCCCATATTGATATATTCCTTGGCTTCTAATTTACATTTAAGTAACTGGTATTCTTTATTTTTTAGTAACCAATCCAATGAGGTTATTTCTTTGAATTTCTTTCTATTTTCATTGTTAATTCTTCTGATATCACTGTATTTGACCCATTCAGTTGCGCGAATATGATAAAATATTAAATTGAATAAATATTTATTATGAAAAACTTTATAAAATAATGTTTCATTTTTATTACTATTGGTTATCATTGGTTGTTACTTATTGGTCATAAATTAAGTGAACTATTTAAATTGATTACAATCCATTTAGAAACTTTTATTATAATTGTCATTGTTATTAAATATTATTGTATAAAAAATGTTTCACTGGTACATTTTTATTTATTTTTTTTTTTTTTTTTTTTTATAAAAATTTTAATAAAATTTTTTTAAAATTAAGACTCTGGAAAAAAAATAAAAAAATCTGATTTATTAAAAAAACTACAGTTTTTATAATTATTTGTATTATTACTATTATTATTTTTATTATTATTATTATTAATTTTTATTTTATTGTTTTTTTTCTCACGATTTCAGTAGTGCCTACCAAAAAAGATTTTATTGCAATAGTATATACAAATTGAGATTACCCAAAAATATTCTATAACAATATCAACCATATTATATATCTATGTTTATATTATATACCCAATAAAATGGTAGTTTTATTAATATTTTTTTTAGTTGCTATCAAAATTGGGTTATTATACTGGTTGTTTTTTTTAAATGATAGTTTTTTTTTTAACCACTTTGAACAAAAGTGGTAAAATAGTGGGACATTGTTGCAGTAAAAAACTTTATATTCATTCACACAGTATTATATATATATTTATTTTCATTCACACACTAAAATCACACACACCCACAGAATATTATTTTTTATTATAATTGTTAAATATAATTGGTAATTTGTAGTGAGAGGTGATTCTTTGATTAAAATAGCAATCCTATGTGTTTGTTTCATTATTAATTTTTTTTAATTATTTATTTTATTTTATTTAATATTATTTTTAATTATAATTAGAATTTTGATATAAATATAAATTTTTTTTTTTTATAATTCAATACTTTCATATTTATATAATAATATTAATATTTATAAAAAAAAAAAAAAAAAGATAAAAAATGAGAAAACAATTAAGATTATTAATTGCACTTGTAGTAGTACTCTTTTTAGGTGTTGCCCATGCCATTGTAGATGCTGAACAAAGAAGAGAGAACAAACATCAAAGAGAAATACAAAATGCTCAAAATGCCAGACAACATAGAGATGCTAGAAACCAAAGAGATGCCCAACACATCAACAATGCCCAAAATCAAGAACAACAAAGACAACAACAACAAAAGAACCAACAAAAGAACCAACAAAAGAACCAACAAAAGAACCAACAAAAACAACAACAAAAGCAACAACAACAAAAACAACAACAACAAAAACAAAAAGCCCAACAACAAAGACAATCCCAACAAAAAAACCAACAACAAAGACAAGCCCAACAAAGACAACAACAAAGACAACAACAACAAAGACAACAAGCTCAACAAAGACAACAAGCTCAACAAGCTCAACAAGCTCAACAAGCTCAACAAAGACAACAAAAAAGAAATTAGAATCCCTAAAAAATTAAATTTGTAAACAGAAATAAATAAAAATATAAATTCTAAATTATAGTATAAAGCTTTTTTTTTTTTTTTTTGGAGATACAGTTTTTTAAATATTTATAAAATTATATAAACAATAAAATAATAATATTTTTATAATAAATAAATAAATAAATTTTATTTTTTTAATGATTTAAAAACTATTATATATTAAAACATTAATATATGTTTACTTCCAAAAGAGTGTTTTAAGAGTCAATAATTATACTCTTTTGATAATGATTTATAGCATTTTCTGACTCTACTTGGCAGACTAAATTACGGATATATGATTCATGGCCTTTGTATGATACACCTAATGGAGCAGAGGAATTAGTGAGAACCTTTTCGACTTCTGAAATGGCAAAGTCAATTTCTTCTTGGCTGACAGTAGAGATTTTAGAATTTGGAACACCCATTATTTAAATTTTGATTAAAAGTTTTAAATATTGAAATATAATAATTTATTGTATAAATAATAATTTATTAAAAAAATTTGATATGAAAAATATTATTTTTTTTAAAAATTATTTATACTTTTTTTTTTTTTATAATAAAAAATGTTTTAAATAAAAAAAAATAAAAAAAATTATATATAATAAATAATTTAATTAAAAAATAATTACTTTATTAAAAATGGTAATCAAAATATCTAATCTATAATCAATCAGTTAAAATATAATTTAAAAAACAAAGCCAGTTTTTTTTTTATTTTAATTCTACTGATACATATAAATGCCACACATATTTCTAAAAAAGATATATATCTTTTTCATTCAAAAATATTTTTTTTTTTTTTAAAATTGTTAATGTAGTATTGCCATCTTATATTGCCATATATAAAAAAAAACATTTTCATTTATACCTCATTGAGTGTATATATTTTTTTTGTGTAGCCCTAAATGGTGTTAAAAAAAATTAAATCTCTGCATTTAAAAAAAACTATATAAAAATCAATAAGCACATACTCACACACACACACTAACACACCCTCTAAATAATCATAATTGTATTTAATAATTCTAACCGACACCAGTTTGTGAATGATTGAAAAAAGTTTACAATTGGTGTTTATATATTGTGTTTTTATATTTTTTTTTGAACATTAATAGTGTGTTACCTTAAAAATAAAAAAAAAAACTGTCCCATTTTTTAACTTGAACTATATTTATAAAAAAAAAAATTGAATTTTAAAATTAAAAATATAAAAGTGTTATAATAATATGTTTACATATTTTTACATATTAACAAAAATAGAAAGTGTTAAATAAATTTGTTACAGTTGTTTATAATTTGGTAATGTAATATGATTTTTTTTTTTTTTTTTTTAATTTCAAAATATTAAAATATACCAATTTATCGAATTTATGATTAAACCCAATTTTATTAATAGTTTTAATTGGTTACATTTTTTATATCTTCATTAGTAAAAAAATAAAACCCACACCCACACACTCTTAAAAATATAAACACACATACACTAAAAATTAATTATATGAATCAAAACTATTTCATAATCTCGAAAAACTAAGATGAACCAGATTGTTTAAACAATAACCTTTATTAATTATAGTTGTTGAAAATAATTATTATAAACATTTAAAAAAAAACTTTGAAACAAAACTGCATTGCCTTATAAACAACATGTTGTAAAAATAGACTTTTATCCACTTCAAAATGAATCATATTTCTTTTTTCTGTTTTTTTTATTATTATAATTTATTTTAATATGGAAATTAAAGTTTAGATCTAGAATTTTGTTGTTGTTTTGTTGTTTCTATCACATAAAAAAGACAATTCTCATAAATCAAGATTTAAATGATTTATTATAAAAATATAACAATAAAATTTTTTATTGGAATGTAACATTAAAATAAATTAAAAAAAGTAGGTGTTAAATTATATTACAAATAAATGGAAGAAAAAAAAAAGCAAAAAACAAATTATTAAATTGTTTTTTTATTTTTTTTTTCAAATTAAATTTTTATTATAATTGGTATTTTTGTTTTTATAAATATAAGTTTATATTTATTATTACTATATTATATTAATATTATTTAATTTAACACATATGGAGGGTGTGTTTGCAGACGTTGCCTGGGGTTTCGTGTTTTTTGATTTCAGTAACGATTTTGTTGACTGATTCGTGGATAACTTTTTTGCAGATATGGATGGCTTCGTGGATTTCAAAGTTGTTACATTCTTGATCTACATATCTTTCAACATCAGCGGTATTTTGACCTGAGAGGATGTGTTTTTCAGCACTTTTAACGGCATAGTCGCAAGCTCTGCATTCGAATTTCTTTAATGGGTTGTGACCGTGGTGATGTTTCCAGTGGAAACCTAACATGGCTGGTTTTTCTTCTTCAGTTCTAATTAATTTGTTCTTTGGGCACATTTTGATTTGTTTGCAGATGGTATCTGGGGTTTCGTGGTTAATAATTTGGCTGATGATAGTTAAACCATAGACATCAACGACAGTTTGGCAAGTTGGGGTCCATTTGTGTGGAAGGAATTTACAAGCATGTTCTAAATTGCTGACAATTTCGGTAGTGGTAAAGTTTTGTTTAATTAAATCGGTAGCACTGTGGATGACGTATTCGCACATTTCACATTTGACGTGACCAGCGGTAGCTGAACCAGTGAAAAGAGCTAAAAAGGCAACTAATAAAACTAATAAAAATCTCATTTTATAATGTGTATATATATAAATATTTAAAAAATAAACAGTAAAAAATATAATACTATAGAAATATTATAATATTATTTAAATAAAAAAAAGTTTGTAATGGTCTGGTCTAAATAATTTTTTTTTTCTTTTATACAAACTCCAACTCTTAAAAAAATAAAAAAAGAAAAAAATAAAAAATAAAATATATAAATTATTTTTTTTGTTTTTTTTACCAGTTTAGAAAAATCCTTTCTATAATTTCATCAACTTGATTTGATAACCATTTAATTTAACTGGGTTTATAAAAAAATATATTTTTTTTTTTTTATTTTTTTGCGTTTGGAGTTAAAAGACAACATGAAACACAAATTAATTTTTCGAATATTTTTCAATTTATTTTTTTATTTTTAAATTTTTTTTATAGCTTTCTTGTTGTTTTTTGACCTGCACAAAAAAAAAAATTAAACAACCACCTTATTGGAGCCATTGACCAGTGATGAAAAAAAAATAAAAACTAATTTTTTAATTTTTTTAATTTTTTTTTTTTTTGATGGTTTTGGACGAAAAACTCTGGTAAAAAAAAAAAAAAAAAAAAAAAGAGAAAAAAAGAAAAAAAAGAAATTTATTATAATTAATATTATTATTTATTATTTCTTTTGAAAAAAAAAACATAGAAAATATAAATATATAAATTTTATTTTTAATTTATGTTTATTTATATTAAATTTAATATAATTTATTGCTATTTATTTTAAATTAAATAAAAAGATTTTTATCTTTTTTTTTTTTTTTTTCTTCAAATATAAAACTTAAGTTTTCTTTAATTTATTATAAACCTCTGAAATTCTCTTTATACCTTCATAAACAAAATCATTTGGTAAAGTAAAGATTAATCTAAAGAAACCTGGATCATTGAAATAGCATAGTTTACCTGGATTAACAATAATTTTATTTTCAAACAAATGATCCCAAATTTTAATTTCTTGTGAAAATTTATCATTTTCATCAATTGGGAATGATGGTAAACATGCTCTTAGATCCAATGAAATAAAAAGACCACTTGATGATTTTAAAAATGGGATATTAAATTCGTTGAGATACTTTACTGCAAAATCATAAGACTCTTTTAAACGCTTTTGATTTTCTTTAAGATAGTTTTCTAAATAAATTTTATCTGAAATTATATTAATTAAAGCAGATTGAACCAGAGTAGAGCAGCAATAATAATTTGATGTAACCAACATATATTTAAGTACATTGGGGTTTTGAGAGTAAAAATAACCAGCTCTGAACCCATTAATACAAAAATCTTTTGAAAATCCTGATACGATATGGCAGTAGTCACCCATATCACCTTTGCAAATATCATATAAACTATAGAAACTATTGGTTTTAATTAAGCTACTGCCATTGGATTGCTCAAGTACACCTTGCATTTTATCTTCATCATGATGATCGAATATTGATAATGCATAAATTTCATCACTTAGTAAATGTACTCTTTTCTTTCTGCACCAATCCACAACTTTTTTAATTTCATTTGATGGAAAAATAAAACCAGTTGGGTTATTTGGATTATTTAAAACTACCATTTTTACTTTATTTTTTCTATATAGTTCATCAAACACATCCAAATCAATTTTAAAATCTATTAATTCGTTGCTTTCTCTATCATACACTTCTGTTTTTGCTGGTATAACTTTAACACCAAATCTTTGATTTGCAAAAGGAATAAAATTTGGGAATAATGGTGAAGGTATAATAGCACACTCACCTTCATCGCAAAATAAATTAAATAAATTTTCCAATAAAGGTGTAGCACCATTCGATACCAATACTTGGTTCCATGTAACAGAGTTTTTTGGGTCTTGTGGTTTAGTTTTGAAAATATAATTTTGAAGCAAATCAGCAACAGCTTTTCTACACTCTACAAAACCACCCAAATCACAATACTGAGTGTGTTTTTGACAAAAATTTGGGTCATGTTTTAATTTATCATTCATTACATCAAATGATAACACATTTTCAGCAATACCTAAACTAATATATCCATTTTTATTTGTTTTAGGGTCATATAAATCGCTCATTGCTGTGTAATGGGCCATTGATATTTTATTATTACAACTTGGTGTGTTTAAAACCCTTAATCCATTTTTTGAAAATTCTTTTACATTAAAACCAAGATCCATAGTTTTTTTTTTCTTTTTTCAAAACTTTATATTTAAAAAAAAAAATAAAAAAAATTTTATATAAAATATAAAATATATTTTAAAAATATATGTATAAATATAAATAAATTATTTAATATGTTTATAACAATATACCTATAAAAAAATATTGTTTTTCGAATTTAATTAAAGATTTTAAAATCATTTATTTTTAATGGTATATTAAGAGATAAAGATTTTTTTTAAATTACAAATAATTTTTTGGGGAGTTTAAGAAAATTTAATTTTTGGGGGTATTATAATTATATATATTATAGTATAATTTTTTATATTATTTTAATTTAGTTTTTTACTATTTATAAAAAGTTTATTATTTTTCTTTATTATTCGCAAATAGTTTTTTAATTTAATTTTATTTTATTTTATTTTATTTTATTTATTTTATTTACATTATATTTTATTTATTTTTATTTATTTAAAATATATTATTTTATTAATTTAGATTTATCTCTTCACCATTAACTTTAATTGAAATTATGCTATTCATCAAGTTTTGTTTTAATAAATCTATAACCTCTGAACTATTGCTACTATTACTACTACTACTATTACTACTATTACTACTTGCTATACAATTGCACGAGCTTGAACCACTACCCACACTACCTAAACTTCCACTACTATTACCACTTTCACTACTATTACAGACACATGCTACACAACAACTATCCTCACTATTGTTTTCGTGATTTAAAACTAATGAAAGATTAATAACTGATGGTGGAATATTTTTTAATGATTTAATATCATTCGTAATTAAACCTAGTGTTAGCGAAACCACTGATTTTGGAATTGTGTTGAGCGGAACGGTTAGATTATAGTTGTTTAATACTAACTCTGTTACACTCGATGGAATATCTCTTTTTCTATTATTAAAAAAAAAATGTTAATATATAATTTATATTACTGCTACTATAAAGATAGCCATAATACATACCTTAATGGTTTGGTAAATTTGTATCCACATTTTAATGATATAATATTAAAAGGTAAATTTGATGAATAATCTTGAAACTGAAACTCATTACCCAGGTCTAGATCAGTTACACTTTCAGGAATAGATTCAGATTCTAGATCTTGATTAAACTTTTCGAAATAAAGTTTGGTCAAACTTGGAGGTAAACTACCTTCATATATTGGTTGGTCGAAATCTGATAGGACTAGATGGGTGACTGATGATGGTATTGAAAATTGTTCTAATGGTTGGTTGTATTTACCAAGGATGAGAATTTGAATTGATGGAGGCAATACACCTGGAAGTAGAGGATGGTTATAGTCACGTAGAGAAAGAGTTTCAACATTGGGCGGTATACAACCCTCTTCTTCAAGGGGTTGGTTAAATGAAGCTAATAAAAGTGTTGAAATTTTTGGTGGTAAAGTACCTGGCGATAAAGATTGATTAAAAGAGCAAAGAGACAAATGAACTACGGTATCTGGTATACAATCAATTGTTATTGGCTGATTAAACATTGAGAGATCTAGCTGTCTAAGATTTTTAAAACAACCAGGTACTAGTGGTTGGTTAAACGATACTAACGTTAACTCTTCCACCAACTCTGGTATACAATCAGGTGTTAATAATTGATTGAAAGCTTTTAAATCGACCAGGTTTTCTACTGAGCTTGGAAAGCACTCTGGCACTATAATTTGGTTAAATGAGGACAGTAGCAGATAATAAACAGAGTCTGGGATGAAATCTGGCAATAGATGCTGGTTGAACGAAGGTAATATTAGCTCTTTTATTGAATCTGGAAAATGATATTGGCTAATTGGTTGATTAAAAGATTTCATTTTGAGGAACTCTACTTTGTGGGGTATACAAAACTCTTTTAAACATTGATTAAACATCGGTAGTGATAGTCTCTTTACTGTGATCGGTATTGCCCTCTCTACTAATTGGTTATTAAATTTTGGTAATTTTAAATCGACAACATTTGGTATACACCCAGGAAGTAGAGGTTGGTCAAAGGATGGTAATAAAAGTTTGAAAAGGTTTTTGGGTAACGAGTTTGGTAATAAAGGTTGATTAAATAAATCCAATCTAATGCTGGTAATTGAGTCTGGTAAGCTATCTGGATCTAAGAATTTGTTAAAGGCAGGTATGCTAAGTTTGGTTACACTAGAGGGAATACAATTTTTACATATAATTTGATTAAATACTGGTAGATAGAGTTCTTTAACTGAAGCTGGTATGCACCTTGGAGTAATGATTTGGTTAAAAGTTGTCAAGGTCAAAGATTGCACATCGGGAATATATTTATGAATAAAGGATGGTAAAGTAATAATCTCTCTTCCTTTCAAATCTCTTATGTCTCTTGACTTTTGCAGTGCTGGTAATAAAACTTCATTATCTATATTTAAAATACTATTTGATCCCAGTCTTTCTTTAATTTCTGGAAGTTTAAACTGATTATTATCATTACCATCAAATTCATCGATTGGTTCTAATATTGAATTTATTGGAATTAAAAGGGTTTCATTTAGAATTGAATTTTTAAAATTTAGATCGTGCTTTAATATAATAAATAAATGGTCATTAGTATATACAAAATATATAAAAATATGCTATTATATTAAACTTACTAAATATTTATGCTTTTTTAAGAATTGAATATCAGCTCTGCCATTTGGATTTGAAATTAAACAAGTTTGAATAAAATGTTTACACTCTAATGATAAATGATGAGGAATAAATGGAATTGCATTTTCATCTACCTTTGTCAAGTCTCCACCAGCCATCTCTATTATGGTGCAACCTAATGACCATATATCAGATTTTCTACCGGCTTTATTAGTTTGTAGACGTACTTCTGGTGCCATATGGGTATATGTACCTATTAACGAGTGATGCTTTGATGAACCCTCGTATTGTTTCGACAACCCAAAATCAATCAGCTTGATTAAACTTATATCGCTTTTATCCAATAAGATATTTTCACCTTTGATATCCCTATGAATAATACAATTGTGGTGTATAAAGTAAATTGCCTCTACTAAACTTTTTACAATAGTGTGTATTTCATTCTCTGGAAATTTGCAACCTTGAGCCATTCTTAATTTGTCTGCTATACTGATACCATAGACATACTCCATATAAATATAAATATGCTTTTCATCCTTGCCCAATCCATAAAACTTTGCAATAGAACTATGCTGCTTTAGTTTTTTTAATATATTAATTTCATTAAACTCCTAATTATTATAATAATAATAATTTAAAAAATATCGCGGTATAAGTATATTTTTATTATTTTTTTTAAAATTTTTTTTATTTATGGACACACATACGAATTTGTGTTTTTCAATAACTTTTATTGCTGTAAATAAACCGCCAACAGTTTTACCATTGATTTTACCATTTAACTTTTTTCCTTTATAAACTTTAGAGAAACCACCTGATCCTACAACAGTATTAATTTCCCATTCTTGGTCGATATGTGGAATAAATTCGTCATCTTCATCATAATCTTTATTTACCATTTAAAATGATGGTTTATATTAAAAAATAAAGTTAATAATAAAATTTATTAATTATTATAATTATATCTATCTATTCAAAAAAAAAAAAAAAAAACATGAAAAAAACTAAAATAAAAATTAAAAAATAAAATAACCAAATTATTTTCTATTATTTTTTTTTGAAGATATTTTTTTTTTTATTTTTTTTCTTTTTTTTTTTCTTTTATATTTTATATTTTATAATTTAATCTTACATTTGAGATGTATAAATAACTATAAAGTAAAGAAAATATTAAATATTAAAGAAAAAAATAAAATATAAAAAAAATATTTGTAAAACGACAAAAAGATAAATAAAATTAAAAATTTAAAATTTTTTTTTTTTTAATTTTTAAAAAAAAAGAGGTTTTTTTTTCCCATAAACAATATAGTTACTCTGTACATAAAAGTTTGGTTTTTGTAAAACAAACAATTTATTCGCGTTCCACATACTAATGTGACCTCTAAGCTTATTTTTAATGATTTTAGCGTCGGGACAGAGTGGAAAGAGTAAACGAAATTACTTTCGACGAAGCTTTGCTTAATTAATTTTTATGTAATTTTAATTAAAAAATAGGTTTCAAACACTTTTCAATAAAAAAAAAATAAAAAATTAATATAATAATCAATAATTTGTAAATATAATGTGAATTTTTCTCTATATAATTTAATCTTACATTTGAGATGTAATTATATATAGAAAAGTAAAAATAAGATTAGAGATATAATCATTGAAATAATCATGGTCTTAATATCATAATAATTTAATATTATAATAATTTTCATAGATATTTTCATAAATATAAATCCAAAAATAATAAAAATAAAAAATAAAAATAAACAAATAAAATAGAATCATATAAATACTAATTAAAAATTAAATGAATAACACAATTCACATATTTGTTTATTTTTTCCATCACACTATCTTTAGTATTTTACAGAAATTATCATTCAAATAATTATTCAAATAAATAATAGATAAATATAAAAAAAGGATATACATAAAATTAATTTTACTAACATTATATGGGCATTTATTTGAAAAAAAAAAAATAGAATCTCCTTTTTTCACAGCTATTTTAAGGAAATAATATATTTATACATCGTGGTTATATATACATATTCTAATTCATAACACACATTAATTAATTATTTATTATTTTATTTATCTTGCCCAATAGCACTCGTTTAGATGTTTTATAGATATCAAGAAATTGAAAAGAATGTATGCCATATATTATATATATTATTATATATAAAAACAATTAAATAAAAATAAATAAACAAACAAATAAACAAATAAATAAATAAATAAATAAATAAATAAAAATAAATATTAAAAGAAAAAAAAACACATCAAAAACCACACTCATATATACGATTTTTATATTTATTATTTTAAAAAGTAATTTTATAGTATAACAAGTTTTTTTTCAATTGGAAAATATCGAGTTTATGAATCCATTTGTGTGTGTACTTAAACACCCATAGCAATATTATTTGTGTATGAAAATTAGATTATACTATTTTTATACCACACATTGTTTTGTGTGTGTGGATATTTTTGTGTTTTTTTTTAATTTAAAATCTCGTTTTAATAAAATTGGTTTTTATTTTATTATTTTTCATTTTATTATTTGTTTTTTATTATTGTTGTTATAATAATTGCCATTGTTTTTTAAAAGATTATTTCTCATTGCTGTACATTTGGTTTTTTTTTTAAATAAATTCACAATTTTTTTTCTTTTAATGGGTTCAATATTGCCATAGTTATTACTGTATTAGGTTATCAATTACATTTTTAGTACTATTTCGTCACTCTGTTTATTTTTTCTTTTTTTTCAAATTAATTTAAAAATAGTTTTAGATTATTGGAATAAATATTATTAATTTTTTAAATATTTTTATAATCAAAAAAAAAAAAAAAAAAAAAAAAAAAAAAAGAATTTAATTTTTAAAAAAAAAACAAATTTTATATAAATAATTTAAATAAAATACATTATAAAAAAATAATTTATTATCATAAAAAATAGATATATAAATATTTTCTCAATATTTTTTATAGTTTATTTATTTATTTATTTATATATTTTATACATCACCCCCACACCCTATTTTTAAATTATAAAAAAAAACAATAAAAAAAAAATAACAAATGGATTATAAAAATAATTTTTTAACAAGTGTCGATGAAATTCCAAAAGATATAGAAAAAAATGAAATAGATAGTATTAATAATAATATTACGTTACCAAAGGAAATCATCAATAGAGCCAATATAAAAAATACTATCAAAAAGGAAGAGGTTCCACCAAAACTATCACCAATTTTAGCAGAGTCAATGCGATTTGGTTTAATTATCGAGTTTTTATTAATTGCTATACCATTATTACAATATATTTTCAATTTTGATTGGCACAACGACTGTGTATTTAATTATTATCCGCTAAATCAATACTACCCATTATTTTTATTTACAATTATACTCAATGGTCTTATCTCAACATGGAAGGGTTATAAAGTAGATGGTAAATTATTCTTTGCAGGACATCATTTCTTTACAATGATAGTTATATTCTGGTCAATGTATCCAATGGGACCAACTCCAACTAGATTCTTTATTTATATTATCAATTATTTAATTATGCGTTTAGTCAAGAGAATTAAAGACGATGGTTATTTAACCAAGGATCAATGGGTTACATTCTATGTGTCTTATGCCTATTTTCAAACTGCAATGGGAATTATTATTATGTGCCTTTATCCAAAGTCTCCAAGTGGTGTCGATATGATTGGGTCATTAGCTCACTTAGACTCTTTAATCACCTGCAGAAAAGAAAATTTTGGAGGCAAACTTTTAAAAGACTCATCCTTTTTAATCCCAATCAACTGGTTAGTTGATCAAAAGTATAAAATTATTCAAAATGTACTATCTGTCTTAGATGTCGCTTCATTATGGTCTCTTATCATTCTATCATCTAAGCTCGAACTCAGTTTCAATTTATTTAAGTATTTAATACCATTTATTTTATTAGAATTTGCAATCAAACCATTGTTTAAGAATTTCAAAAGACCATACACCTACAAATTTTCAAATCACAGTTCATTCCCATCAACTCATGCTTGCATTTGTGGAATAATAGTTAGTTGTATTGCTTCACTTACTCCAACACAAAGATTAATATCCATTCTTTCAATGGGATTTTATAGAATTTATAGTCGTGCCCATACAATTGAGGATGTTTGTGCTGGTATTGCAATGTCCCACTTATTTATTGGTTTCTATAATGTTGTTGGATTATAAAAAAAATTTTTTTTTTTAAATAAAGATATTAAGTATTAATTTTATTTTTTTAGATTTCTTATTTGTTTATTGATTTTGTGGGTGTATTTTTTCTAAATATTTCTCGTTTATATTTTCTTTGGGGGATCTTCTAGTTAAAACAAAAACAACTTTATTTGCTTTATCCCAATATATATTAGCTAATTTATTTACTTTTAAAAATCATTAGTTAGAAAAATGAAAAAAATTATAATAAATAAAGGGGTTTTCAACATACCTTTCCAGGAAAATTCAGTAACTGAAATTCTTTCTATTATATTAAAATTTGTTAGTAATGAGAAAAAAAAAATAGAGTAATTTAAAATTACCTTGGTAAATAATATCTTTTTTTGATATATAAAATATTTCTAAAGTTGAATATTTTTCGGCATCAAACTTTAAATCTTTATTCATAAACCCAGGTTTTTTATATTTAATAATTTTATAATAGCTTGCTTTTTCAATTTCTAGTGATAACCTATCAATTTTATTTGTTAAAATTTTATAATGATTTTCATATTGTTGTAAATGAGTTATTTTTTGACATCTTTGAAATTCCTCTAAACACCCATATTTTTCTAAAGGACAAGATAAAATCTTTTTGGAACATAGTAAACTATGTAAATCTTTTGATTTTCTTTGGTAATTTTCTGAACAAAATTTGCACTTCTTGATAACACTAGGACATTCTTTTATATGGTTATCTTTTGCTCTATAAATGTGAAATGAATCCAATTCACACTTAACAAATATAAATTGGCACTGGCTTGTATGTTCTTCTAAATCTCCATACATTATTATTTCTTTACACCCATTAACCTCATCAATACATTCTAGTTTTGAATTAGTATAATAATATGGGCAATAAACCTTTTTTTAAAATAATTAATATTTAAATTATTAAATTAATTTTATAATTATGTTTTTACCTTTATTTTATTTAATTTTCTTTTTATTTCCATGTTACTGCTTAAAAAATAGGGACTGGCTCCTCTTTCAGAAGGTACAACTTCTCTACAGGTAGGACATGTAGATTCTTCATTCTTTTCAAACCATGGGATTATACAGCCTCTACAAAAAACATGGCCACTTGAACAAAACTGCACTGGATCATCTAATATATTTTGACAAATTGGACATAGTAAATAATCTTTAACCTCCTGTTCATTTACAGCTAAAATAGATTCGATTTTAATATCTTCTATTTTAAATTCGTATAAAGAAAATAGTTCCATAATTATTTTTTTTAATAAAAAGTAATAATTTAATTAAAAAAAAAAATAATAAATGAAAAAAAAAAAAATTTTGTTATGTATTCCTTATTCCCCCCAAAAATAGAATTTTTTTTTTTTTAATTTTTTTTATTATTATTTGTATAAAGTAAGTTATTTTTGTAGAGTGTGTGAAAAAAAATAATATTGTTGTATTACAATTTAAATGAATTTTTATTTATTGTTAATGATTATTTACAATGTGTGGTAGAAGTAAAGTGATTAATTCGAATTTTTAGGATAGT